TGGCAATTTTAATGATGTAACCATCATGATTTTTTGCGAAAATCGTGAAAATATGGATGTCCCTTTTTCCGGTGGAAGTCGATTGGCAGGACTCGCCCGATCACGAAAAGACATGCCGCTCTCCGATCGGCTGCCGTATTGCAGAGATTTAGCATACAGAAGAAACCAGTATTTTAAAGATACGCAAATCCAAATCTTCGGTAGGCTATATCTCAGTCTAATAAGGCCAGATCGGTGTGGGACCTACTTTCCCAGGTCCGTGGGGATCCAGAGGGTCAAACGGCATCAAAATCTCGACTGTGAAAATGAGGCCGATTTTTTGCAATTTTAATGATGTAACCATCATGATTTTTTGCGAAAATCGTGAAAATATGGATGTCCCTTTTTCCGGTGGAAGTCGATTGGCAGGACTCGCCCGATCACGAAAAGACATGCCGCTCTCCGATCGGCTGCCGTATCGCAGAGATATAGCATACAGAAGAAACCAGTATTTTAAAGATACGCAAATCCAAATCTTCGGTAGGCTATATCTCAGTCTAATAAGGCCAGATCGGTGTGGTACCTACTTTCCCAGGTCCGTGGGGATCCAGAGGGTCAAACGGCATCAAAATCTCGACTGTGAAAATGAGGCCGATTTTTTGCAATTTTAATGATGTAACCATCATGATTTTTTGCGAAAATCGTGAAAATATGGATGTCCCTTTTTCCGGTGGAAGTCGATTGGCAGGACTCGCCCGATCACGAAAAGACATGCCGCTCTCCGATCGGCTGCCGTATCGCAGAGATATAGCATACAGAAGAAACCAGTATTTTAAAGATACGCAAATCCAAATCTTCGGTAGGCTATATCTCAGTCTAATAAGGCCAGATCGGTGTGGGATCTACTTTCCCAGGTCCGTGGGGATCCAGAGGGTCAAACGGCATCAAAATCTAGACTTCGAACATGAGGCCGATTTTTGGCAATTTTAATGATGTAACCATCATGATTTTTTGCGAAAATCGTGAAAATATGGATGTCCCTTTTTCCGGTGGAAGTCGATTGGCAGGACTCGCCCGATCACGAAAAGACATGCCGCTCTCCGATCGGCTGCCGTATCGCAGAGATATAGCATACAGAAGAAACCAGTATTTTAAAGATACGCAAATCCAAATCTTCGGTAGGCTATATCTCAGTCTAATAAGGCCAGATCGGTGTGGGACCTACTTTCCCAGGTCCGTGGGGATCCAGAGGGTCAAACGGCATCAAAATCTCGACTGTGAAAATGAGGCCGATTTTTTGCAATTTTAATGATGTAACCATCATGATTTTTTGCGAAAATCGTGAAAATATGGATGTCCCTTTTTCCGGTGGAAGTCGATTGGCAGGACTCGCCCGATCACGAAAAGACATGCCGCTCTCCGATCGGCTGCCGTATCGCAGAGATATAGCATACAGAAGAAACCAGTATTTTAAAGATACGCAAATCCAAATCTTCGGTAGGCTATATCTCAGTCTAATAAGGCCAGATCGGTGTGGGACCTACTTTCCCAGGACCGTGGGGACCTCGAGGGTCAAACGGCATTAAAATCTCGACTGTGAAAATGAGGCCGATTTTTTGCAATTTTAATGATGTAACCATCATGATTTTTTGCGAAAATCGTGAAAATATGGATGTCCCTTTTTCCGGTGGAAGTCGATTGGCAGGACTCGCCCGATCACGAAAAGACATGCCGCTCTCCGATCGGCTGCCGTATCGCAGAGATATAGCATACAGAAGAAACCAGTATTTTAAAGATACGCAAATCCAAATCTTCGGTAGGCTATATCTCAGTCTAATAAGGCCAGATCGGTGTGGGACCTACTTTCCCAGGTCCGTGGGGATCCAGAGGGTCAAACGGCATCAAAATCTCGACTGTGAAAATGAGGCCGATTTTTTGCAATTTTAATGATGTAACCATCATGATTTTTTGCGAAAATCGTGAAAATATGGATGTCCCTTTTTCCGGTGGAAGTCGATTGGCAGGACTCGCCCGATCACGAAAAGACATGCCGCTCTCCGATCGGCTGCCGTATCGCAGAGATATAGCATACAGAAGAAACCAGTATTTTAAAGATACGCAAATCCAAATCTTCGGTAGGCTATATCTCAGTCTAATAAGGCCAGATCGGTGTGGGACCTACTTTCCCAGGTCCGTGGGGGTCAAACGGCATCAAAATCTCGACTGTGAAAATGAGGCCGATTTTTTGCAATTTTAATGATGTAACCATCATGATTTTTTGCGAAAATCGTGAAAATATGGATGTCCCTTTTTCCGGTGGAAGTCGATTGGCAGGACTCGCCCGATCACGAAAAGACATGCCGCTCTCCGATCGGCTGCCGTATCGCAGAGATATAGCATACAGAAGAAACCAGTATTTTAAAGATACGCAAATCCAAATCTTCGGTAGGCTATATCTCAGTCTAATAAGGCCAGATCGGTGTGGGACCTACTTTCCCAGGTCCGTGGGGATCCAGAGGGTCAAACGGCATCAAAATCTCGACTTCGAACATGAGGCCGATTTTTGGCAATTTTAATGATGTAACCATCATGATTTTCTGCGAAAATCGTGAAAATATGGATGTCCTTTTTTCCGGTGGAAGTCGATTGGCAGGACTCGCCCGATCACGAAAAGACATGCCGCTCTCCGATCGGCTGCCGTATCGCAGAGATATAGCATACAGAAGAAACCAGTATTTTAAAGATACGCAAATCCAAATCTTCGGTAGGCTATATCTCAGTCTAATAAGGCCAGGTCGGTGTGGGACCTACTTTCCCAGGTCCGTGGGGATCCAGAGGGTCAAACGGCATCAAAATCTCGACTGTGAAAATGAGGCCGATTTTTTGCAATTTTAATGATGTAACCATCATGATTTTTTGCGAAAATCGTGAAAATATGGATGTCCCTTTTTCCGGTGGAAGTCGATTGGCAGGACTCGCCCGATCACGAAAAGACATGCCGCTCTCCGATCGGCTGCCGTATCGCAGAGATATAGCATACAGAAGAAACCAGTATTTTAAAGATACGCAAATCCAAATCTTCGGTAGGCTATATCTCAGTCTAATAAGGCCAGATCGGTGTGGGACCTACTTTCCCAGGTCCGTGGGGATCCAGAGGGTCAAACGGCATCAAAATCTCGACTGTGAAAATGAGGCCGATTTTTTGCAATTTTAATGATGTAACCATCATGATTTTTTGCGAAAATCGTGAAAATATGGATGTCCCTTTTTCCGGTGGAAGTCGATTGGCAGGACTCGCCCGATCACGAAAAGACATGCCGCTCTCCGATCGGCTGCCGTATCGCAGAGATATAGCATACAGAAGAAACCAGTATTTTAAAGATACGCAAATCCAAATCTTCGGTAGGCTATATCTCAGTCTAATAAGGCCAGATCGGTGTGGGACCTACTTTCCCAGGTCCGTGGGGATCCAGAGGGTCAAACGGCATCAAAATCTCGACTTCGAACATGAGGCCGATTTTTGGCAATTTTAATGATGTAACCATCATGATTTTTTGCGAAAATCGTGAAAATATGGATGTCCCTTTTTCCGGTGGAAGTCGATTGGCAGGACTCGCCCGATCACGAAAAGACATGCCGCTCTCCGATCGGCTGCCGTATTGCAGAGATTTAGCATACAGAAGAAACCAGTATTTTAAAGATACGCAAATCCAAATCTTCGGTAGGCTATATCTCAGTCTAATAAGGCCAGATCGGTGTGGGACCTACTTTCCCAGGTCCGTGGGGATCCAGAGGGTCAAACGGCATCAAAATCTCGACTTCGAACATGAGGCCGATTTTTGGCAATTTTAATGATGTAACCATCATGATTTTTTGCGAAAATCGTGAAAATATGGATGTCCTTTTTTCCGATGGCAGTCGACTGGCAGGACTCTCCCGATCACGAAAAGACAAGCCGCACTCCGATCGGATGCCGGATAGCATAAAAGAAACGACCAATCAACACGCGAGAGATGTTGATCCAAATCGATAAAGTTTGTTTTGTGAAAATACTTTATGTGGCAAGGAGCCATGGAACTGTCAGCACCACCAGATCGGGTACACTCAAGGGATATTGTCAAAGTTGGATGGTAAGGATCTTCAGGGAGTGATATTGGGCTTACCGTCTGGAAAATATTAAGCTTTCAAATTCAAAATTGATTCGGTATTTATATTCTAAAATTTAAAAAATCCGTAAAAAATATTTCTTTTGCTTTCTTTTTTCGTGTATAAGTACATTAATTGGGCGTCGTTTAAGTAAATTTTATATGTAAAAATTCTATGCTTAAACGGCTCAGGTGCAGCTATTTGAACAAAACTGCCAAAATTGTATGTAACCCGCTGTCCTGCAAGTTCACGATCGGCGTTTTATTTTTTTCGTGCTTCATTCCTATTTCAAAAATATCCTCAATAAATATTTACGGTATTATTAATTTTAAGGTACAGCCGTAAAATTGTAAATTATGTTTTTACGTTTTGTTGATTAGCTGCTGGCCCTAACTAGGGATCAAAGGTTTTACCATCGTAGCAGGCAGTCCTCTTGGTTTATCTTGTGAGAGCCCCGCCGATTAGCTGCTTGACAAATAGCAGCGAATTATTGGCCTTCAGCCGCTTATTCTGTTACTTGTCCTGCTAAGCGTTCTAAGCGTGTCTTCCTATCCACGTCTGCCGAGCGAAGCTGCGCTTAGCGATCGGTGCTGCAATGTAAAGGGCAAGCAAGCTACACTTGCAATTTGGGTGTCTCGCAATAAAGTACATACCGCCGATTTATATCTGCGCCGGGTTTTATTTAATCGAAATAATTAGTCGGCCGATCGGGGATAAACACCATTATCTCCACAACTGTCAACCAAAAAACACATTGCCCATTCATACTTCACTACTACTAAATAATAGCAGCTTCAATTTCATTCTGACTGTTCAACATTCGAATTCATTGATAAGTTAAAAAGCTTCATATACCTTTCGTGCCCTACAAATTACAAAGCGTAGTTATTTATTTAGTTTATTGGAAACTCAGAAATAAGTTAAAAATAAATATTTTCTGGAGGTTCGTTCCAAAAGCTCCTGGTACACACCAAATTAAAAATTAATTAATTACTTATTTTTTTTAAATATTATATTAATATTATAATCATTTAGTAGGAAAATCTGGCCAATAATTTATATAATACTTATGTGTTGTACCATCAAACAACCGTTCAAGCCAATTGTCAAGGCTGTCAAGTAAATTATTTTCAAGGAGAACTTTTATTTCTGCATCTGATTCTTCAGAAAAACTTGTTCCTAGAAAGGTTCCGACTTCTGGATCTTCATTTATGTTAAGCAGCTGCTTGGTCATTTTTAACAGTCTCTGAAATTAAAAAAATTGTTTAATTATTTTATGGCATCAAATTGATTTATTTCAAAAGAATAATAAAAAAAAAAACGATTTGTATTAACTATTAACCTTTGCGACTCAATGGCGATTTAAAATTCAGAGTCGTTAAAGCTTTTGGACATGGAAACCAAATGTTGTATACAGACTGTTGTATATAAATGAAATTTCAGCGGCTCATAATTGGTCTATTGCCGAAAACATGGTGGACAGAATATCAATGCGACGCAACACACACCATTAAGTTCATTAAAGCAAAAAGCTATTAGTTTAACCTGCACGTCTTTATTCACCAAACGTAAAAATAATATTAACATAAGACCATATGATAAGTTAGATGGTAATCAATCAGAAAGAAGCGAGCTAATCAAACGTTCTAATCCATTTAAAAATCAGACACAAGAAAACTCAAGGAATGACAAAATGGCCAGCGAAAATATGAATCAAGGCGACGAATTCAGTAACTTTTGTGCGTCGGTAGAGATTGATGGAGAGGAACATATTAACGTAGGTTTCGAATTTGGTCCCAATCTGGCAGAAAAGTGTAGGGAAATTATTAAGACATAGTATTTACACAAAGAATTTGACTTTAAAGCACAACCAAAGTATGAGATGCAGATTCGTGTAACAGAAACAACACCATTTCATTGTACTCCGCGTCCTTTATCCTACCATGAGAGAGAGAAAGTAGCTGAAATAGTAGATGATCTGTTAGAAAAGATAGTAATCCGTCATAGTGAGTCTTCTTATGCTACCCGTTGGTCCTAGTTAAAAAAAAATTAGGAGAACTTCGAATGTGTGTCGATTACCGTGGCCTGAACAAACGAATTGTGAAAGATAATTTCCCATTGCCCCTTATTGAGGACTGTCTTAAGTTTTTAGAAAACAAGCGCTGTTTTTCGATTATATATTTGAAAAGTGGGTATCATCAAATAGGCGTAGAAGAAAAATCAGTTCCGTATACATCGTTTGTGACACCGCAGGGACAGTATGAGTACTTGAGAATGCCTTTTGGGTTGAAAAATGGATCCGCTATTTATCAGAGATTTATTTCGGAGCTCTTGAAAGACTTTATTAGGAACAAAAGCATTGTAGTGTACATGGATGATATATTAGTAGCGACCAAAACAGTTGCAGAACACATGGATATATTAGAAAGACTATGCATTCGGTTTAGCGAGACAAATTTAGAGATAAATCTAAAAAAAAATGTAGGTTTTTCAATCGAAACATCGAGTTCCTGGGGTATAAAGTTAATAAAATAAAAAAAATAACCAGTCCCTAAAACTGTAAAAGCACTGCACTCATGCTTGGGACTCTTTTCGTATTTTCGACGTTTCATGTTGTCATTTGCGACGTCAGCTAAGCCCTTGGTGCAGTTGTTAAAAGAAGGTGGTCCGTTTACCATGAATAGAGAACAGGTGAAGACTTTTGAAACTCTTAAGAATGCGTTGGCAAATCCTGCGGTATTAGCCATTTTTAGCCCAAATAGAGAGACGGAATTGCATACAGACGCAACTTCATACGGTTATGGCGCAAAACTGATGCATAGACAAGATGATGGGAAGATGCTCCCTGTGTCCTATTATTCCGGCAAAACCACAGAAACAGAATCACGTTATCATAGTTTCGAACTGGAGACATTGGCTATAATTTATGCATTGAGCCGTTTTAGAGCATATTTGGAGCATAGGTCCTTCAAAATAATCACGGATTGGAAATCATTGATAGTTGGGGTAGTAGGTGCAACGCCAGAAGATGTTGATTTGATATGTCAAACAGAACAGATGCGAGATAAGGAAGTAGTTAGGGTTCGAAAAATGCTAGAGGATGGAATTGAAGTAGATTTTTAAATGGTAGATGGTATTGTTTACAAGAGGAGTTGTGAAAACAAACTATGTCTCTATGTACCAATGTGTATGGAATTCGCGGCACACAATCACCGGTCGCCACCATCGCGAGCCTTTATCGATTCGCTTACATTTCTGATCAAAATATGACTAACCCACAGAATGCTCGCGTGCAGAAGTCACCTGCATTCAGCGTTCTCTGTCTATTTAGAATTGGTGAAGGACCCAACAACTGCAGCTTTTTAAATGCAATAGGAATGAGTTGGTGGACGTTCGGCGGGTATTTATAAGTGAGAAATCGTGCAGACGTTCATTATTATTGCATCAACAACTGTTTCGATTGGCTATTCATACCGCCTCACTTGCCCCATTTTGGAGGTTTATGGGAGCCAGCAGTGAACACCGACAAACAGCGTTTTTATCGCTTCGTAGGATCGACGAACTGCTGCCAAATCAGGCTACAATAAACTCTTGTCCTCTTGACTCTTGACCTTGGCGTCCTTACGCCATTTTTAATTTTGTCGTCCGCTGATGGAGTTTTCCGAGGTAGATATTAAGGTTCTAAACTTCAATCGACTAGATCACTGGCAACGAGTCACCTATGTCCAGCAGATCAATTGAAAGCGTTTGAGTGAGGTGTACTTGACTCTCGTCCGACAACGTGCCAAATGGCGAACTCCACAGCCCTGGATCCAAGTAAACGAGGTTATCTGTGTGAAGGATACAAACATACAGTCCTACACAGCAGGACAACAACTTCGCAAGCTCCAATATTTTTAAAGAGTACCTTATAAAATAACCATGTGTGTTGTTTAAAAGATTAATATTTCCCAAACTATAGCTTTAAGCCAGATTGAAACTTAAGACATTAATTTTCAACTTATTCATAAAAAACAGATATTCTGTATGCCAAAATAACATTTTTTTTAAATCTATTAAAAAAAGTCTGGAAAAATATAAATATATTTTTGCAGCTAGTACATACCTTTGTCCCACGAACCGACTCAGGATGCTTGGCGTGATACATGCAAAAATATTTACGGTGTCCATTCAAAGCTATTACAGTTCCAACACAATTTCTTGGATTTACTTGCAATTTTTCATTAGAACTCAATGATAAACGAAGAAGTTCTGTGTACCAAGGCAATCCCTTTTCAATAAGCATATGCCCAAATAATAAAGTTTTCGTTTTCCGATATGGCCATACAGCTTTATGAAAATGGGGTAGAAGCTTTTTCCGACTTTGAACATCTGTTATTAGCAATAAAGTTCGGCAACCGGGCTTAAGCAAACGAACCATTCCGTTATACTTTTCTGCTCTTAGTTCATATAGTTTCAGTTCCGGGGTTAGGTGATTCGGTTTTCGAGCTAGATGAAAAAAAATAGAATTAATATATGTAGGCTATTCAAATTTCCTTTAAAGTGATGTGTGATATGTGTTTAGCAACCAGATTAACTAGTCTCGAATTTGAAACAGTATATTTAAACTTTTTTTTTAATTGTTTCATACCTTTTATATAAAAGGTATTCTTTGAAGCCCCAAGTATTAGTGATGAAATTTTCGACCCAAACCATGTATTGACATATGCAGATCGATATTAACTTTAATCTATATAGCATAGCCAGGTCCACCAGTAGAGTAAAATCCTACTAATGTTTTGTTACTTGCACTGCGAATTGTGAATAGTTCCTCAATCCGACACCGTCTTGAACCGATCCCCCCGTGTTTTCAATCTGACTCCGTTTCGAATCGAGCTAATCAAACAGACTCGACTTGCTCTCGTCTCGTAGCATGAACTTCTGCTATCCCTTCTATTCTGTATTGCATTATATACCTTCCCCAACAATAATTCGTAATAAAACGAACAATCTTAGAATTTTTATATAAAGAGCTCAGTAGCTCAACAGACATGTGATGTGATGAGTGATGCTGTTGCGATGTCTACAGCCATGTCTTTGACATTTGACATTTTTCAATGACATGTTCCCGTTGCGCAAAAGCGTTGTGCATTTAGGTGTGCATTTCTGCATTTAGGTGTGCTTGGATGTCCAGAGTGTCTATTACATTATCTTGCCACCAAAATAAGAATCGACACAGTAGAGTTTGTCGCACAACCGAGATCCAGGGAATTAGAGCAGGTGAGAGGCCCCATGTGTTGCTGAGCTAGCAAGAAGATGCTAGTACAATGGTGGCCTTGTTCGCCCATTTCACTACATTGGGTCTTCAGGTCAGTCTGATGTCTAGCTCCGAAGTATTTGATTTGTGTTCTTGTCATCACTTTTGTTATATACTCAAAGAGTATCGGGGCATGCCGTCTAATCAATGATTCAGGACTTTACTGAAAAGAAGCAGACTGCAGAGTGCCCGATCATTCGACATTCGCCAAGTCGAGTGGCCATCAGCGAAGCCTAAGTTGTCAAGCAGCAGATCGATGAATGGGCCAACGCTGTGATAATACGACGCTCATCATCAAATTTCACCAGTCGTACTGTAATTGTCAAGAAAAAGAATGAGGGCAGCCGGGTCTGCGTAGACTATTGTCAGTTGAGCAAGATGGTCTTGAAAGATTGCTTTCCCGTTCCAATCGTTGAAGAGGTGCTGGAAAAGCTGGAAAATGCGAAGGTGTTCACCATCATGGACTTAGAAAATAGGTTTTTCCACGTTCTTGTGGAGGAAAGCAGCCAAAAATAAACGGCGTTCATAACGAAGGAAGGCCTCTTTGAGTTCAACCGTACGCCTTTCGGTTTTTGCTATTCGGCAGCAGTTTCATCTGTTTTATAAGCTTTGTATTTTAAAACCTTATATGAAAAGAATGAAAAGATTCGTGACCTGTACATGGACGATATCGTTATACACGCTACCGCCGTTATACCGGCGACGAATGACTGGGAAAGCTAAAGAATGTTTTTAATGCAGGAGCTGAATACGGGCGAAAGATGAAGTGGAAGATCTGCAGTCGACCATTAAATTTTTGGGTCATCAAGTTGGAGCAGGTGAAATCAAGCCACACTCGCTTTTAATTTGATCTCAATAACTTACTGCTGTGTAAGTTTATTACACATAAATGCCTGAAAGTGCAAAGTAAGGATCCATTTATAACAAAAATTCTGTATACGTCACTAGTTCGTCCGATCCGATGGTATAGAATCAGCCCCGAAAAACTTTTTTCCATTTTTCTCGCAGAGTCCTTAAATGGGATGCAAGTGTGAGACTGGCATTCCATCCTAAGTTAGTGGTAGGAAAATGCTTGCTGTGATATTTATGAACAACTTGATCAGGGGTAACATAGACAGCCGCATGTTGAGCCGCATAAACTTCACGATTCCTATTAGATATAGTAGAAACTCTATACCATTGTCCGTTCCGTGTTTTAGATCGAATTATTCCTTGCCTGAACTGTTAGGGTTGTATGCTTGTATTATAATTCCCTCTACCATATTATATTCACCACTAATTCCCTTTCCCTTATTAAATTTCGATATTGCTAACAGCTATCTTTCCTGCATGTTCGGGTTCGGTTTGGCCACGCGGCGCGCGTCATGCGACATCGTCACTTGGTCAGTTGGGCGAGAGGAGTGCTGCGATTTGGTGCAGTCATTGCATCGATATCGTTATAGCCGTTATAGTTTTTGGTGGTTTTGAACATAGTGATTGGTTACTAGTATCGGCATTTTTTACCATAATGCTTGGGTGTAATTTATAATAATGTGTTACCCCGTCTTGTTACCGGGCTCCAAGACAGGTCACTTTATAAATATTTGAGAATATGAATTACACTTTACGTAAAGAAATGAAACTGTAATTTTCATCCAGAATGGAAGATATTTAAATTAACCTAAAGTTCACTTACTTGTCACATCGGCAAGATGTCCCTGTGCCTTTAGGTGTTCCTCTTCAGCCCTAACGAAGTACATCAATATATATCCGACACCAAACATAAATCCAATGGTACCTAATAGCGAAAAGGCAGCGAAAAGGTGCTCGTCTTCTACATTTTCTGATAAATAATCAACCAAATAAAGAAAGTGCGTTATCCATTTACTAAAAATTCCTTGAGAATGCTCGTCCAACAATTTCTGAAAATATTTAATTATTTTGCATCGCTTATGTGGAAAATATTGAAATAAAATACAATACCTGAACAAAAGCTTCGTAGCTTAACGCTTCAGATGCCTTTAATAGCTTTTGTATTTTGTGAGTGAGTCCAGCTTTTGTTTTATTTATTATACTTTCAGTTGGAATAGTAGAAACCAGTGTAGCATCCTGTTTTGCATCAAATACCCATTCGTATTTCATGCGCGTATTATCCCGACGCCAAATAATAACGATTTGTGGATGGTCTTTGGCAAATGATCCTTTTGATAGAGCATTTATAAAATTTGGCTGTCTTTCCTGGAAGAGGTCCAGATATATTATTGGTTTGTTATGTATGCGAATTTAAATGTATTAATACGGAATGGAAAAAGCCGTCGCTAAATATAAATAACTTTTTTATAATATCAACCCTAAACACATCCAATTATTTGTAGCATGAGGTTTGGGTTCTTTAAATCTTTTTATTTCAATGCTTAATTTCGATTATAATTTTTATAGAAAATATTAAGAAATAAGATTTATTTGTTGAATTTATTAAAAAAAAATTTGTATATATTAAAATTAATTTAAATGACAAAAAGAAAAAATAATTTGTATATATTAATTTTGATATAAAAATTAAGTCATAAAATTTATGTCCAATTTTTATTATAAAAATTATAAAAAAAAGTACCCAGATCTTCCTTCAGAAGCATTGGAGAGAACATTTGTATTGGGATGAAAGACTACCCGCAGTTTGAGATCTCTCAGATTCAATTTCCTCGCGTGAGTCATCGTTCTAGTATGGCTATAGAGGTTTGCGTATTTTTTGATGCCAGCATAGAAGCATATGGCGCTTCCTAAGCAGGAATTAAGTGAAGCCCATTTGCTTGCGAAAATTATAAACATTTTAACGACCCAAAAAAATGACCGTCGAGCCAACGCATCCCCGCTTCAGCAAAACCTCGAGACTGAAAAGTTCTTTGTACACTTAGTTTTTGTTAATTCATCCTGTGCACATAAAAAACGAAAAATGTCTTGCATCCGTAGCATGGACGACTTTCATAAGAAAATGGGTAAGGGTAAGGTAAGGGTAAGGTGGTGGTCTTGGACTTTTACGCCACCTGGTGCGAGCCCTGCAAAGACATGGACAAGAGCGTCAAGTCCATGGCCATCAAGTATTCCACAAAGAAGATGGTCATCAAAATCAATGTGGAACAATTCTTAGATCTGGTGGATCAATACAAGATCAAGAGCATGCCCACTTTTATCTTCCTATAGGGAACGACGCGCCTTGCCCGCTTCAGCAGCGCCAATGAGCACAAACTGTTTAAAACTATGGAAAAGCTGACCAAGTAAATCCAGCCAATCAAGCCTCAGGCGGGAGAGTGCAGGCTTGACCGCAAATTTAAACCTACTTTTTTTTACTGAATGTGCGTTATGTGTTTTGTAACCCTCGAAAGAGGGAAATTGTCTTTGTGTATGTCTAGAATATAAGAAATATGTAATTTTTGTGAAAACTGTGAAATTTGTCAAACACAACCTTACAGAGAAAATTTAATCTTTTGGCATTTGCGATGTCGCCTTAACATAACCTCAATCTCACATGATGCGAAAATGCGAAAAGAAAAAGAGAATGTTGCCCTAAAACTATATTTAACAAAAAAGAAAAAAGGGAAAAGGAATCTTTACAGTTCAGTTTTACTGCTGGTCGGATTCATCAACAACATTATCTTGGATAAGGGATGGGCCAGCCAAATTTTAAGTTTTAGTGTCAAATAGAGTGGTATCAATTCAGGAGTTGACGCTAGGTTTTGATGATATAATCTCGAGATGCTGAACAAAATTATATGTCCTTTATAGAGTTGATAGGGAAGGTATATTTTGAACAGTTTTTATATGGGTACTAGGCTTATATAAAGAATTTACACCGATAAAATAAATTGCGATTGGCGTAAAATACGTTACCTTAAACATATATGCAAATCGAACTCTCTCCACACTGTATCTACTGTGTAATGCAATTTCTCTCATTGCACCCCTTGCCACATTGTGTTCATCGGTGTTTTCAGTGATCAGAATTACGCACAAGCGTTTTCTAGGTCGGTTCCATTCAGCGGGGCATACACCTTGAAAGAAATTAAATACATATTTAAAAAAAGCCAGCATTTTGTAACAAAAATTAAAGGATTAATAAGCGCATAGTCTTAGGAACAGCAGCTTACGCTCTCAATACATACACGCACAGACACATGTAACAGTCTTACTGATTGTATAGCATTGCTTCACTCTTTTCTTGCTCTGAGTCAAAATTCTCGTCGAACGCTCAGCATCACAGGCTAGTTGGAATTGCCGAGCGACCAGCACGTTTGTGCATGTAGAGTTTGACACCTACTCTTAGCTAATGCCCACGCCATTTGACTTTGGACATTGAAAAATCCAACAATAAACTCCAAAATAAAATGTAACAACGGAAAAACCGTATTTTTAAATGTGGAGTCAGAGTTGGCGACAATAGGTTTGCATTTGAATAATCAAATGCAAATCGAACGGATTGAGGATTATTCGGTCAAACTCTTTTAACGAAATAAACTACTTACAAGTACTTACTTACAAGCGAAAACTATCCGAAGGCCCTAGAAAAACTCAAAAGTCGTTTTAATAATCCTACTCTTATATTTTTAGAAGGTATTGAGGCATTTTTTGCACTACAACCTGTGGAAAAGTCAAACAGTCAGCAGCTTCGCAGCCTAGTGGATAAGGCATCCGCTATCTTGAGCTCGTTAGAGTCCATCGGCAAACCTGAGAATATTTTTCACGCTATGCTTATATATATTGTAATGCAAAAGTGTGATCAGCAAACTCGGAACAAGTGGAAGGAATCGCAGGACTACAAAACTCTGCCAACTTGGCTAACATGCACACAGCTTTTGGAACGCCACTGTCAGTTTCTCCATTCGTCTGGAAACTCGGCTGGTACTAGTCAAATCGTCATTCTATCACTGATCCGTCGTGTACACTTTTTCTAGTTCTGGTAATAAAATCACTAACTGCGCTGAGTTCAAGGCTATGAACAGCAACCAACGGTACGACAATGCAAAACGCCTCGATCTCTGCATCAATTGTTTTGGAAACGTTCATAGAGTGGCACAATGTTCATCGACTCATCGTTTCCGATCCTGTAATCGGACTCATCATTCATCTTTGCATCACTCTAAGCCGAAACAGCCACCCCAATCTAGACCCCTTATTTTAACTCTCTATTAACTCTATCGTACTTATAATTATCTATTAATTTTTTTTTTTCATGGATGCGCCATGGGGAGTGGAAATCTTCATGAGATACCAATGACCCGTGCCATTGACATGCAGCAAGGAATCGTGCAAAAAAAAAAAAAGCTCTATTCACTTACTATCGAGTACTCGTATAAGGACATTTAATTTCACTCTCGCTTGCAATCCAAAATCAACAACTTTCAGTAATGGTGTTGTGCAAATTTGTTACGCCTTAATGCCTCGAAATATAAAATAATGACATTTAATCCTGCCAGCCCCTTGTTGGCTCCTTAAACACTGCGCTTTCTTGAGAAAGTTTCCACTGGTTCATGATCTTGGTGTTTTAGACCCCAAATTACAGTTTTCTGTACACATTTCTACCATGGGAAATATGACCCTGGGCATGCTTTGGTTTATAAAGAGATGGTCAAAGGAATTTAAAAACTCTCTATACCTCGCTTGTTCGTCCGATCTTAGAACACGGCTTCTGTGTATGGTGCCCTCAGTACAAAGTACACCAGGACCGCATAGAATCAATCCAGAAAAACCGTGGTCCCCCAACTGGGATGCAGGTGTGACAATGCCATCTTAATAGATTGCTATTGGTAAATCTCCCATCCATATTTAACCGTAGAAAAATTCTTGGTGTGGAGATAATTCATAATTTAGCTCTTCGGTTAACGCGTCGCGCGTCATGCGGTAAAAGGGCTGCGTTTTTGCCTGGGTATGATGGTGTCACACGATCCACTTGACGGTGCAGTCATTGCATAACCACTTGATGGTGCAGACATGCATATCAACGTCCACATATTGAGTTTCCAATATTTAGTTGGCTTAGCAAACTTTCTTGTAATGAAACTTAGAAAGTCATCCGAGTTAATCGATAGCTTTGACTAATTTCTTGACTTCCTTGAAAAGGTATGTACCATACAATTCTGTGCCGACCTGCCTCCCGTTAAAACAACTATGATCATATGCATATGCCCATACATCGAACATTAACCCAAAAATTGTAATCTGGACGGCATTGACTGTTGTCAAAATTATTGGCGCGACAGAAGTCAACCACGACAGTCTTGCCAAAAGCGAAGTCGAACCCGTCGTGAAGGGTTTCATCGGCCTGAGTTTGGAATGTCTCCAATTAGATTCCTACCACCTAAAGCAAATGCATGAATGTATTCAATTTGGAGACTTATACGGGAATAAGAGGATTTTCCAGGAAGACAACGTAACAATGTATTCAGTCCACACGCAAATATTGTAGTGTCCAGCCGGACCAAACCCAAAATGAAGATCATTGTATTAAGCGAGAAGTTAGATAAAATTGGCCCTAGAACTCAGAAAAACTAGGCAAGCTCAACCAATAACCTAATTAGCCAAATAGTAATGAAAAATGGCAAATATATTTCAGAATAAATATTCATAATGTTTTTTTTTTTTATTGTAAGCCTATTGTTGTCTAATCTATAACCTTAGGTTTTCAAAGCTGATTGCTACTAGCATTTATTACCTTTTCAGAACCAAAAAGTTACGCAAAAAAAATGTTCACTCGACGTTAAACTCTTAAAACTAATAAGCATACAATATAAACAATACTTACTTTCTAGCATGTCTTGCGATGACAACCTTGGTAAAGATAAAAATTGATTTGGAGTGATCATATTAATCAATATTTGAGTTGAAATGTCTGGCAGGGAAATCCTAGCTATAGACCTTGTAGAATCTTCATTGAATATAAGGAGCGTGTCCAAGCTTGCATTTACTTGAAATCTATTGATGATATTCTCCGAGATCTTTTTAGTCAGGTCAACAAATCTGAAATTAAAAAGTGCACATATTAAATTACTTTAGACAGCGAAATATGTAGCAATAGCATACCAAGGAAGACTACAAACCACACTAGGTCTTATAAGATTTTCAAAACCACGGTATAGTGTAATAAAAATATAATAGTTTAATGTGTATATGATATGTGCAAGCCCAAGCGTACTTTCGAAATAAATTTCCGAGGGAGGGAGGGCTGCGTTTTGCCTGGGATTCGCGCGTAACAGCCTTCTGCTGGTTTCACACGGGCCACTTGACGGTGCAGTAACTGCATCGCCTCTTGAAAGATGCAGTCATTGCATGTCAACGTCCAAAGAATGAACCACTGGACAGACTACAAAATCAGTCTGTCACTAATAAAAAGGAAACAAGGAAAGCAATAAGGGCCTCTTGGCAAAAATTTTGCTCGGAAATTCTCTCGAAAACTAACCCCTCGGTAGGGTGTCTTAAAAGGAATGATGGTACGTGGACCAACTCCAGTGAGGAGTCCCTACACACTCTACTCGACACGCATTTCCACGGGCGTACAACCATCCAGCCTACACACTTCCAAACCACAAACGGTAAATTCGATCAATCACATCTTTTAAAAACGGAACATAATCTCTGGAGTAAACAGCTTCAACCCGTTCAAATCGCCAGGCCCAGACCAGGTAATACCGGACCAACTTCAGAGGGCCGGGGATAGGGCAATCAACTGGCTACAAGGCATCTTCAGGAAGATACTGGTTGTGGGTACAATCTCCCGGGCGTGGCTTAAGGCAAAGATAGTCTTCATTCCCAAAAAGCAGGGAAGCCTCGCACTCAACTGCAAAAAACGTTAGACTAATCAGCCTTCCTCCTCAAAACCTTTGAGAGACTCGTCGGGCTGCAACTTAGGACAATTATACACGCTCAGTTGCTGTCAGAAAGGAAAATCCACGGAAACGGCTCTTCATGAAGTGACCTCAGCGGTAGAGAAATCTCTGCATCTCAAAGAGTACTCACTACAGCCTTTCTCGATATTGAGGGAGCCATCAACAACGTCATACCGGGCGCCATTACAGAAGCCCTGACTGACCTGGGGGTGGACCGTCTTTTGGTGATGCTCATCGATCAATTGCTCATATGCAGGACGGTGACATTATCGATGGGATCGTCCGCCAAGTCAAGGTATTTCAACAGGGGCACCCCGCAAGGTGGTGTCCTGTCTCCTCTTCTGTGGAACACAGCAGACAACATGATTCAATGTGACCTGGAAGGGGGGGCTGCAAGGTCGTGGCCTATGCGGACGATGTTGCGGTAATCTTCTCGGGAAAATACCCCGAAACATTGTGCCATTTAATGACCGCAAAGCTAGCGCAACTGTCGGAATGGACAGAATCGCGCGGACTGGGAGTAAATCCCTCGAAAACGGAACACGTATTATTCACAACTAAATACAAGGTGCCGGCCCTCAACCCACCAATATTATATGGATGCAGGCTCTCCTTTAGCGACAGTGCCAGTTACTTAGGGTTGGTAACTGACAAAAAGCTTAACTGGATGCTGAATGTCAAAGACAGAAGAAGGTGCAAAAACACTATTGGGCTAAGATGGGGTATGACCCCAAGGACTGTCCAATGGATATATCTAGCTATAGTTAAACCAATACTACTCTACGGAGTTACGGTGTGGTGGCCGGCCCTATCAAAAAGGGCGATCACCAAGCGACTGGGCAAAGTCCTATGCAAAGTCCCCTATGCATCAGCGGAGCTCTTCGCACCACCCCAAATGATGCGCAGAGTGCCATCCTATGCCTTCAGAGCCTTGACCTCGCAGGAAAGGAACGGGCAGAAGCAGCAGCAATACGTCTGAGCGACTCAAATCAATGGGTGAAACAGTGCATAGGTCACTCAGCCATATAAAATAATAGCAATACCCTCCATCAAAAACGGACTACCAAGTTGCAAGAGAGTACACAGTTCCTCCCTTCAAGACAATCATCCCTCACAGAGACGAATGGCTCGAGAGACTCCCAGAAACTGGGCGACAGAGTCGGAAGAGGAATCTCCCAGATCACTGCAGTGTCTTTCAAGCGGAAGTCATAACAATCAAGGAGGCTCTAGACTGCCTACAAGCGGTTGCTATTACAGCAACCAAGCTAAACATTTAAAGCGACAGCCAGGCTGCGATCAAATCGCTAAGTGCGATTTCCTCGAACTTGGCCACCGTGGCAGACTGCCGCAAATCTCTCCACGAGATGGCTCAGTAATTTGCTATTAGATTGATTTGGGTCCCGGGACACAGGGACATCGAGGACAACAGTATAGCGGACGAGTTGGCCAGATCTCCTCCAAGACAAGAAGGATATCTGTATGGCAATGGCCACCTATAAGATTATTATAAAAGAGCAATACAAGCGTCTGACAAACGAGATGTGGCAAATAGTGCCACGATGTCGCTTAACTCGGCAAACATGGCCGAGCTTGTCCATGGTAGCGCACCTCCGAGCTCTGCAAGCTTGGCAGGAAAAGGTGCAGTGTATTCATACGTTCCCTCACGGGACGCTGGCTAATAGGCACCCACGCCAACAGACTCAAAAGTCATTAGCAGTAGCTGTAGAGACGAGAAAGAGGAGGAGACAGTGGAACACCTGTTCTGCTCCTGCCCAGCTCTCAGCAGAAGAAGGCTACAACACTTGGGCTCAGCATTTCTAAACGACATTTCTGAGGTGTGCTGTGTCTGTCACAGGAAGATAGCGAGCATTGTGAGAGCATCTGGATGGGATAATTGCTAACAGGAAGTCTTACAACGCAGGAAGGGAATATCCTATACAGATATAGTATGCCACACCAAGTATTTAATAACTTTGCAATTCTATAAAGCTAATAAAAGCAGCTACGGCCTGCGAAAAAACATTACAGTTTCAAATGAAAAATTTATATATTTTTGCGGTATTAAGTATTAAGACAACAGACAGATAACAAATAAATAAATATACTCTTACCCAAATGCAACACGATCATAAAAAGCAAAGGCGGTTACCAGATATCGTAACCGAATTAAACTCCGGGGTTCCAAAATTAATACGCGAACTCTGTTGTCCATCCATCCGCCAAGAAAGTCATCTATGTTGTTATCATATACGTGCTGAACTATTTTATACGGCAATTTTTTTCGTATGAATTCTGGGTATATATATAAAAAAATTTACAAATTGGTAAATAGAGTAGTTATAGTTCTATAATTGTCAAGATATTAGACAAAAGTCGACATTCCGACTTAAGTTGAACCACTATTATCTATCATCTTTATATGTACATAAAAATGTACAAATCCTACAATCAAATTTGCGACATATCGCTCGCAAGGAAGCTAAAAAATTAAAAGCGTTAGAACGTACGCAAAAGACTGAGTATTGAAAATTAAACTTTTTGTCACAAGTAGCACAAATTACATCGTTTCCAACAACTTTAAAACACTTTGGGGGAAGGCTGTTAAACCATTTTTCTAACAAATTTCTTTTATACCTGTTGATTTTCGGCACTTCACTACACTTCACTTCAAAGACTGTAGAAAAGTAAAGCAAACGCGCAAATCAATAGCTTAAAATAACGCCAGAGATCAAACTGATAAGAAATTACAGTAACAATATGTTACAGAGAGACTTCATATAAAGAAGCTGCACATCTTTGGTGTTGTCATAAAGCTTTGCTCTGGTTTCAAGTCCGGCTTGCGATAAGAGCAACACAACAATATATGGTAAAGCGTTGGACAAGGGAACGTTGCACAAATCTGGTCTAAATTATAGTATTTTTATGGCTGCGTTTTTTTTCTACCGATCGTATCTATCTCAGTGTAATCAACTTACCGACAACTTTTTGTGGCGTATACGAATAGTCCCGATATACAAAAATTTTACCATCCAAAACAAGAATCATTTTTGGAATTTCGTTTGATCCAGTTTTTCGTAGAACTGACGGTTCGTGTGCAGCATTTATAGTTGAAAAATGAATACCTAAAATAAAAGTTTTTAATACCTTAAAAAGAACATGTCTTGATTAGTATATAAAAGGCTTACCTAAAGGTTCCAGAACGTCAATTAACTTTTTAAATGCTCCAACTAGTCGCGTGCACTGGAAACACCAGTCATTATAGAACATAACAATATGTAATTGTTTTGAACTTTTTAGCAAAATAGTTTTCTCGAAATAATTTGCTGTTACTGAAAGTTTATGGTATAAAACAATGTCTTGATCAAAAATGAAATGTTTTCCAAATATATCTTCCGCTTGATCGGAGGCGAAACGATCATATCCACTATAATCATGCTTTTGTTGCAAATAATGAGAGTCTTCATCAATTACTCCGTGTCGATCATAGATTCGTCGTCGATTAGAATCACTCAAAAGTTCATAGGACTTTTTTATCTCAACAAACTTTTCTTCGGCTCCAGGAATCTGATTTTTGTCTGGATGCCTGAAAATATTTATTACACTATGTAAAAAATAATTTCCTTTTTTATTATCTGTCAGCATTATTTACCACTCTTTTGCCATCTGTTTGTATGCTCTCCTTATTTCTTGTGTAGTCGCTAGGCTATTAATTCCAAGAGCAGCGTAGGGGTCATTTGAAGCACATATGCATACATTAGTTGTAGCATAAAGCAGCAGTATTCGTAGCGTACAGTAATAAGCAGTTCCATATAGCTTCGGTAACATTTTTGTATCCTTTTATTATTCACCTTAAAAACTTTAGAAAATTACATGTGATATGTAAAATTAACTATTGTCATCGTCTAATGAATTTTTATTCTGCACTTTAGGCAGTTTAGTTTAGGAAACTAGTCTCTGTTTTTTCACTCCATCAAACCCATCAAGAAAAATGAGATTACATAAACACAGCGCAGGGTAAAGCCGAAATGAGGGGATTAAAAGTTAATATATATTTATTTATTTTTTTGTTGTCTTCGGATGTATAAATATTTATATTTAGGCGGACACGTTTTTTGTTTTCAAGATATTTTCAAAAAACTAACTTTCAATTTTGAAAAGCTGATAGATGCAGCTATAAATCGACCCAAAACATTTGGGTCGTTAGAGCTATCGTTTGTAAAAATCGAAGTATAAAAAGTCTGCCTAAAAATAATGCTCGGTACGTTACTAAGTGTAAGATAAAGTCGCTTATCGCCGCCTTTGATGCAGCAAACGATACGAAGCTTGCAGTGTCTTGCATGCCCGGGCTTAGAAATCGAATACAAACTGTTTCCTCGATTTACGGACCGTTACTGTCGATCGGAGATAATACAAAAATTTCGAATGCAATGGTCATTCATCTCGTTTTGAACACAGTCGTCCCGGTAAGGAAACAAAAGTGGGATGAAAAGTTTATGAGAAGTTGCCTCTTTAGTCCGACTTAGCTGAAGAACCGACGAAGCCAACACAGAACAATGTCATGTCAAGCAAGCAACATAATCGCAGGTCATATGCTTGTTCTTTCACTTCCACCAACAGTAGAACTCAGCAAACTTATAGCTATTGTAATTCAGGAGACCATGTAGTGTCAAATTGCCCTCCAATTTCGCGTCTCTCGGTGATGCAAAGGTTCGAGTCGGCATCCTTATGCATTAATTGTCTGCGAAAAGGCCACGCTGTTGTAAAATGCAAAGCCAATAAATGTCGAGTGTGCAGCCGCTCACATCATACATTAATCTCGCGTTGCCACCACCCTAAGAGAGTACTTCCCCTCCATCAAATCTGGATCAACCTTCCACACGGTTGGACGACAGCGTTGGACAGGGTAATTCTTGCTACATCGATCGTAAGCGTCTGAAATAAGAGCGGTGAACACGTTTAGGCCAAAGCTCTGCTCGACTCTGAATCACACAAAAATTTTACTACCGAGAATTTCTCTCATCGCTTACAGATCCGTAGAGAGGAGTCCTGTATTAACTTGCTTGGAATTGATGAATCTAATTCTCAAGTAAAGGATAAAATACACACAGTGGGGAAGTCGCGAATAAATGATAGTGAGTTCTCCATTGATTTTTTGATACTGAAATCAATTTCAGGTTATCACCCTAACCGGTCAGTGAATCCCAGAGAACCTACCACTGGCAGACTCTTATTTCTACAAGCCACAAAGAATAGATATGCTGATAGGAGCAGAATCGTTCTTTGAATTATTAGCCGTTGGTCAAATTAAGCAAGGTCCTGACTTTCCAACTCTTCAGAAAACCCTTCTTGGCTTGGTTGTTTTGGGAAAATATGTTTCCAAGAGTTCTGCTCACCAAATTACAAATAGTTTGAGTTTCAGTGAAGGGCTGCGAGTCTCTATCGATCGAACCTTGCAAAAGTATTGGTCACTGGAAAAAATGCCATTTCCAAAGAAAATCGCCACCCCTGAGCACAAGGTATGTGAAGACCACTATCGCAAGACGACTCAAGTACTGTCGTCAGGTCCAAATTGTTTAGGCAACTCCTTTAAGGTTGCTAAACGGCGGTTTTTGTCGCTTAAAAAAAGATTGTATCATGACCCTGAGTTGAAGAAAATGTACTGGAATTCATGAAGAAGTTTCTCTCCTTTGGTTCTACTGACAATTCTATTCCTTCTACCACCAAAGTACATATACCAAGCTCCGTGTTCGACGCTTCGTCCAAGACGTCCTCTCAGGTGGCCTTGAATGATATTCTGATGGTCGGACCTACCATTCAAAGGTAACTATCCTCGACACTGATCCGTTTACGTCTGCACAGGTTCTCCCAGACTGCCGATGTTAAAAAGATTTATCGCCAAGTGATGGTGAATGAAGCTGATCAGCAGTTTCAGCTCATATTGTGGAGAAGAGACCTATCTGAATCCTTGAGATTATACAAGCTCAACACTATAACCTATGGGACTGGACCAGCTACATTCTTAGATATCCGGTGTTTGAAAAGGTTGAGTGAGTCTGCGAAGCACTCATTCACCAAAGCTGCTAAAGTTATTGGGTCAGACTTTTACGTCGGTGACTTCTTCGGGAAGATGGCGTAGTGTCTACCTGCGCCTCAAAAAGCGCCACCCCGAAGATAAGGACGCGCACACCCTACAGGCAGGCGAGGTGGAAAAGGATTTAGGTCTTGAGTCTATCTTGGAGGCTGCCCAGGGTCTCGCGCTCGAAGACGCAGAGGAAGAAGAGGAGGACGGTGACCTGACGCTGGTAGTCAACCCGCAAGGGGCAACTGAGCCAGCCAACCATGATGCTGAGTGTGCTGCAGCCGACATAGCTCTAGTCCAGGAGCCCTGGATTGCGACAGGCAACTCAGTGGTCGGACTAAAGTCCTCAAATCACAACTTGTTCTACTCAACATCAGTAAGCAGGAACAGAACCATCGTACTCGTACGAAAGGGAATCCATGCTTACCTTATGTCTCATTACAGCACGGATGACCTGACGGTTGTGATGCTGGGAAGTGAGGAAAATCGCCTTCTGGTGGCTTCCTGCTATATGGCTCACGACAGACCCGCGCCACTCAGGAGTCTGGTGACAGAAGCCGGCACCAAAAACCATCAACTCGTCATCGGGACGGACGCCACCACAATGTGTGGGGAAGCCCCGACATCAATGACAGAGGTGAGTCACTCTTAGACTTTATACTAGCAAATAATCTATCTATACATAGCAAACGTTGGGGAGGAGCACACCTTCGTAGGTCTGGGAAAAGTTAAAAAAGACAGTTACTTCGAAGCTCGCGATTCCGGGATCAGTGAAATCCGCGGAGGACATAGAGAAGTCTCTAGAGACCCTTTCCAACGCGTTACTCGACCTGGAGCCTGGAGTAACTTACTCCTTACTGGAGCCTACCACACATCGTGCAAACCCTCGAGGACGAAGAAGAGGTCCAAGCCACTCTGGTGGATCCGGGATCTATCTCTTCAAAGGAACAACCTCAGGGAATTCTTTAAGATCGCCAACAAGCGAACGAAGGGGTCGTCTACGAGGAATACAAACTCCTTCTTAGGAGCTACAAGAAGGAAATACGCAAAGCACAACGGAACTCGTGAAGGACCTTCTGCTCCAACATTGAGAAAGTACCAGAAACCGCACGGCTTCGGAAGCTGCCCTCTAAGCAGCCTACCATACAAAGCCAATTAAAGCTAGATGACGGACAGTGGATAGAGGGCCGTGATGAAGCCCTAACAGCACTAATGGAGGAGCATTTCCCTGGTTGCACCGAGGTCGCTGATGCCAAAGAGCACCAGGACCTAGCAACCAAGGAACAACTTCCCCCCAACAGATCTGATAACCACCAAGCGAATCTACTGGGCAATAGACTCCTTTGCAGGCACAAAAACACCAGGACTGGACGGGGTATTACCAGCCATGATGTAGGTGACCAAAGAGGCAATTACCCCATAGTTTTCCGCAATATTCACAGCTTGTCTAAGTACAGGCTATATCCCTATCCAATGGAGAACCTAGAGAGTTGTCTTCCTCCCAAAGGCAGTAAAGTGCAGCCATACGAGTCCCAGAGACTATAGACAGTAGTGACCAGACGTGTTTTTGTTTTGCGCCCCGCTTCTTTTCCATTTATTTTCCAAATACAGCCGGTGTATTTTAAAATAAACCTTGATAAAATCCCCTCTTAACCTACAGTAAAAAATCTGTTCTTTAACGCGAGTGCATGCCTATTATTTCCATAAAAACTTAATTTTTGATATAAGTTCTGTGCGTTTGGTTAATCGTTTGTTTGTGTGTTGCTTTCCGTAAGTACGCTCACGCTGTGTTTAGCCCGCTCCTATCCCGTAGCCTTTGCTGTAGCTATCACTCTCTCCCTATTATCCAAACTTAAACAACTGTTCTTTTTCTCTCGCTCTTTAAACTTTCTGAGCAATAGCGCTCTCTGTTTAGTAGCTCTCGCTATAACCGCTCTCCAACCTGCTCTGTTTTTTACTAATTCCGCTTTAAGCGTTGTCTGGCACATTGGTCTGATACCAATTTGTTTGAAATTTTATGTTACAAATTTTTAAATAAATAAATAAAAAAATGGAATACGCTGTGGTCTGCGCCAAAAAAACTTGTAAGAAGCAGAGTGTAATGAATTTTTTGGAATGTTTTTGAAAAAATAAATAAATAGCCTTTAAAAACGTGTTCTGGAAACCACAAACTTTCTTGCTATATTAACAATGAATCAATCTATGCAAAAATAATTATTTCATATAAATCGGTAAGTTGGTTAAAAAGATATAGCGGTTTGACTTTTGAAAATTGTTGAACCTATTCAGTTGAGCGGCACTGTATATAATTTACAGCCACTCAAAAGTTTTCAATTCTTCGTGTTAGAAAAACTCTTCTAGTTTTTCAGAACATCCCACTAGGTTGTAACTGGTTTTCTGATGGTTCTAGTATCGACTCAGATTTTTTCGTTTTCAAAACGAAAACATTGTCCTCGCCGAGGTACAAAGGTGTCAAATGCACAGGTAATGCTGTTGTTGAGACAACGAGCTTTTTCGCTGACTATAATTTTTCGAATAATTTCACAAAATTAAAAGATTTTTGGAAACGTTATAATTTTTATTTGTTGGTAATTGAGGGTGCCCGAAGATGACAGAGCCCTTTACAAAGGTAGTGATGAATTACACACTCGGTTGAGGCAAGCGAGCTGATCTCGAGCCATATTAATAGCTTGAAGACAAAAAGGGTCTGTTCTCCAACTATATCAAGTGGTAACTGCCAGAGAAGGCGCACCTGCTGACGGCTTAGTGATGATATAGGAAAGAAAAGATAACAAGAGCGAGCGTAGATAAAGAGTAGATGATGAAATGAGAGCATGATGCTGAGCAAGTATAGATAAAGCTACGCTTACGTTACGTTAGCTTAGTATAAAGACCAAAATTGTAAAGAAAATGAAAAGGATAGGAGATAGAAAGACGAGTAAAGAATTTACTCTCGGGCATCGCAAGAACATACCCCCTCCGTGGAAGGATCCATGCCTTTCACCTCATCTCGTAGAGGCAATAGACATAATTTTGCAAGTGCTCTTCTGCTAACACTTGTAGCCATCCTGATCGACGATCAGGACTCGAGAAACGCCATCAGATCCTGGGATCAGCTCGGGGATTCTCGGTAGAGGCCACTTCAGCGGAGGGGTCTTCTTAAATCTCACAATTTCTGCTTGCTTTCAAAACAAGCAATTGAAAAAATATAAGCCATTTTTATCACGTTGTATATGTTATTCATGAAACAACCAGGTCAGCTTGTTTTGTTGGCCAGAAACGAAAAACAACAAAAAGATGACTAAAGTTTTGTGAAAACGGGAGAACCTAAAAAAGAATGGGGATCGTATTGAAGTGAATACAGGAGCCTGCCTGTACATCATTAGTGAGTATGAAATAATGATTTGTTTTTCCCCAACAAACAAGTTACACTGCAACACAAAATAAAAAAGCTTTTAATATAAAAATATATTCTTTATTAATTATAAATGTATAAATCCAAAATTTACATATAAAAAGATTATTTACAGCTTATTAAAAAAAATAGTTTAGTTTTGTAGCATGCCTACATTTACATACAACTTTGTGTACAAAAATAACAGCCAAACGAATAAAGCCAAGCAAACAAATTTTTGTCCCCTTTCAAACCATAATAATATGAAATATTGAAGATGCTTTATATGGTAGCACGTTGGTCCTTTACAAAAAATTTATGGTATTATACGAAAAGAGGACTATTTAAAACTTCTGCAAGCTTATCTTCTTAATTTTCTGGAGAAATGTATTTATCTCGAATTTAAATAACTTTTTAACAAGACAGGGACCCGAAGCAAATTGCGAAAATTTTTCGAGAATGGCTGGTTAATCAAACTGTAAACTTTGATTCAATTGAAAATTGATTAAAAAAAAGTTACAAAATTTAAGTAGTCATGAGTCTTGGAAAGCCTATAGTGAAGAAAAGAAACCAAAGGATCAAAACATTTATTTCAGAAGGCAAGACCTATGCTAAGGAGGCGCAAATTGTCGGTTGTTCAAAAGAAATGATTAGCAATGCTTTAAAATGTTTCCAACAGAAAACACGTGGAAGAAAGGCCGTGATATCCCCATTTCTGGTAAAACTACTGGTTCGTTAGAGCAAGGAGGACCCATTTAAGTCGGCCACAGAGCTAAAACAAGGATTTTAAAAAATCGTCAAGTTGCAGATCTTGTTTACAACAACGTAAAATGGGTACTCGTAGTCCGAGGAAAATTCCACGTTTGAAAAACGAAGAAACATCCTGTGCTCCGGCGAAAGCCAAAATGTAAATCGGTGCTCTTTTTTTGGTGCTCAAATTTCTGATAAAATCCTATTCAAGTATTTTTATTTTGAGTTTGCACATCATACCGGTGCTCTGGTATAAGAAAAATTGTACTTTAAATTTTATATATTAGTCTTAAAAACGTTCATTAGAACCATTGCTTAAACAAAATCCATCATTTTAGATACATTAGTCCACTGGTGGATTTTTTTTCGGTGCAGCTGTACATATTTACATATGTACACACAAACTTGGGAACAATACATAGATAGCGTATCTGAGTTCGCCTTTCGCTCTGACTAAAAAGCTGGATGACATAGCTAGTTTAATACTTACCACAGTTTGAAAAATAGTCCACAAAAGCAGTGTCTCAGGAAATGTAACTACATATGTACATTGTTTGTGTAAAAGCTGTTACAACTTCGTACTTCAAGGGAACTCTCTCTACCTTAAAATCAGTAGGTGGCTATCATGGCTAATAGAGAAATAATAAATCCTATTTAAGGATAAAGCTTTTACCAAACATCATCAATAAATCCCCGTTAAATTGAATAAACTCCAAAACCACTTCGATTTAGAATCGTTAACAGCACAAAACTCGGATGCACGCACGTCTCAATGGATACAAGTCTAGCTAGAAATACAAAATAGTTAAAGAATTAAGAATGTTCATTAAAAGTTAATTTTGGAGCCGTACCAAGTGAAATATTAATCTTTGACATTAAAGCTATTAACTTTTCGTTATGAATATGTTATTATGTAGATGTATGTGTTATTTACAAAAAATATACTACATTAAAAACAACACTCAAAATTTAATTTTAATTTAATTAGTTACAGTTTTCTGCAGCCTAATAATAAGAATGTTTTTGAGAGTAACTCACAATAATCAAAACCTAAAAATTCCCCTAATGAGAAGAAATAGATATCTACTTTTCGGCTATTCTGAAACGGTGGAATAAGAACATATTTTAAACATACAATAGAAAACACACTGAGCTCATTCCGGGGGAATTTTGACAGAAGTGAAACTGCGTTTCACACTGGCACCGTCCACCATCGGTTAAAAGAAGCTGATGCACAATAAAAAGTTCATCGTATTTTTTTTGTTTATCAAAATGGATGAAGACTTAACAATTGTTTTGGCTGCCGTTTATCAGCAAAATATTTTCGTGCACCAACAGATAGTGTTGCTAGAAATAAATAATAATAATAATAAATAATAAGCGCAACAAGTAAGCAGACTATAATCAGTCAGCAGAACAAATACTATCTGCATTCGAGAAATATTGCGTGGACCGTATATTAAAATCTTATTTATCTGTATCTTTCAACACTTGCAACAGATCATTTTGAAATTTGGTTTGGGTGCTAAACAGGTTCTGGACGAGCTTTTCCTAAATTTCTCTTCTTTGGCATTGAATATATCTGAATATAAATAATCAAAAACAATAAATAACATAGATATTTATTAAACTCCTAACGGCAATTTTCTGCTCCTTGCATTTGATATTTTTTTTAAAACTTTCTGCTCTTGTGAAAATTGACAGAAACGATAAAAAAAGAAACATATCGAAAAAAAAAATTTGTGAAAACTGGAGCACCTTAAAACGAAAACGAAACGTTTTGGCTGAAAACGTAATCCGCAAAAGTAAATGAAAAACGGAGCCTGCCTGTATATATGTTTTCGCAGTAAATATCATTGACGTTGTAAATGCCAATTTTCTAGAGTTGAACTTGAAAACCATCGGCTAACGATCGCATAAAAACGTGCGGTCTAGTAACATTCCAGTTACATGGAATAACTGGGAAATTTTCGGATCTTCGCAACATTGCGGACCATCCCCGAAATTGATGGTGGATGGTCATTAAACATTAAACATAGACATACTCATTGGAAGTATCGGGTATAAGAAAGCCGTTTGGCAAGAAAAATGCACCATTTGTTTTTCATCGTACTGTTATGAATGCGCTTGGTGACCTGGTTCACTTATACGTTATTGTTTACGTGGATGATATTATGCTGGTCATACAGAGTTGAGTTGGGTCTGGAAAGATTGATGATTGTTCTGGATGTATTGAATAAGGCTGGATTCTTGCTCAACTTTGCGAAGTGTGCGTAAGCACTTGCGGTTAACAATATTCAACTACAGTAGGCAGTACATAGCGAACAATAAAAGGGACTTACCTTAGGCTGCACCTCTATGATTTAGCTACGCTGCTTATTAAATAAATATTGGGTTGGGAAACCCGACAACAATAATTCGTTAAACAATTTTAAAGCTCCAAATCTATCAGAAAAAACCGGTTTTTTTCGAAGCGTAAATAAAAAATTAAATTTTGTTGCCTAGTGCAATTTACGATTAAACCACGAATCCGGTTAAAAAGCGAAAATTAATGTACCAACATCATAACGATCATCTATTATCAGATTCTGTCTAATGATATAAACATATTTTATCACTTTTACCTGATTTATTTATTAACTTAAATAGCTACGTCACATATTATTTAAGAATGTACTTTGAATAGTGTGGCTCGTATTTTTCAACGTAGTTTTTAACGAAATCACAGTGAATAATAATGAACAGTCCATTTCGCAGTGCGTATTCCAAAGCAGCCTAAAATAAAATAAATATTATTAAGGAATTCAAAACTCGAGTAATTTTTTATTTTGTAATAATTGTTTCTGGTATTTGACTGCGTACAAGCATTCTATAGCTGATTATGCATACGGTTGCCTTGTTAAAATTTTAATGCTAGCGCAAAAGAAGGAGAACGTTGTGAGGAGCGGGCCTGGACGTTGATATGCAATGACTGGGTCTTTCAAGTGGCGATGCAATTACTGCACCATTAAGTGTCCCGTGTGACACCAGCAGAAGGCTGTTACGCGCGGATCCCAGGCAAAACACTGCCCACCTCCCGCCCAAGCGATAGAGGGGAGCTTGACAAAAAGTTTAACTGGAACCTGAATGACAAAGACAAAGTGAAGAAGGTAACGACTGCACTCTACACTTGCAAAAAAGCCATTGGGCAAAGCTTGAACTCAAGTATAATCTGACAGAGTCGGAGGAGGATTCTACTCTGAACAGCTAAAAATATGGCATTTGTATGCCAATGGCCACCTGTAAGCTTATTATAAAAAATGAATACAAGCGACTAACAGACGATATGTGGCAAACAGTGCCACGATGTCGCATAACCCGGCAAACATGGCTGACCATCGACAAGAAGCGCACCTCCGAGCTCTGCAAGCTATGTAGGAAAAAGTGCAGCTCGGTCATACATTCCTCACAGGACACTTGCAGGACACAAAGGCACCCACGCTAACAGGCTGGGGGCCCCACATAATGATTTTTGCCGCAGCTGTAGAGACGAGGAGGAGGAGGAAACAGTGGAATACCTGTTCTGCTCCTGCCCAGCTCTCAGCAGAAGAATGCTACAACACTTCGGCTTGGCTTTTCTAAATGACATTTCGGAAATATCTATACTATGTCCCAGGAAGATCGCTAAGAGCATCTGGATGGGATAATTGCTGGCAGGAAGTCTCAAAACGCAGGAAGGGAGAGATCCTAAGCGGTATCAAATCAGGCCGAAACCGGCCTGAGTATGAAGGGCTCCGAGCGAGCCCCGCAGCCGGCTCAACTTAATCTAACCTACTACGAGAAATCTGGTCTGACCAGCTGGTGAGGTGGCTTCAATGTGGGCCAACGGACGGGTCGCATGTTGCGGAGAGCGAGCAACATACCTCCATAGGTAGGTCAGGTAAGCGGGCATCTCTAGGGGCTCGTGAAGCAGCAACACTTACGATGCGCATGTTGGGCCGCCTGCCGTCAGCCTGGCTGGGGGACCGGTATATAAAACTAGCACGGTTAACGGAGAGCTCAGGGACTTGGCAGCCCCCTGTTATAAGTATGCCTTATCCGGGCATCGTGGATCTCTGGCCGGACGGACCTTACCCTTTCTCTGGAGCTCGTGGATCAGTGTGGAAGATTGCAAACAAACAAAAAACATAAATGAGTTTGGCAGTTCCCAAATGATAACAGGGAAAAATGCCTTGTCCAATCCGCAACACAGCAGAAAAAACCTGCGCGGCGGAAGACGCTACCGAGAACCCAAAGGGTTCCCAACCCGGATCCGGGGTGGGTGGTAAATCGACTCCCGAGCGGCTATGGAATCATGCGGCTGCTTTACCTGTTGTTAAAATGCCGGCGGACGATTTACCATCGACTTTCCAACTCTTCAGAAAACCCTTCTTGGCTTGGTTGTTTTGGGAAAATATGTTTCCAAGAGTTCTGCTCACCAAATTACAAATGTTTGAGTTGCAGTTAAGAGCTGCGAGTCTCTATCGATCGAGCCTTGCAAAAGTATTGGTGACTGGAAAAAATGCCATTTCCAAAGAAAATCGCCACCCCTGAGCACAAGGTATGTGAAGACCACTATCGGAAAACGACTCAAGTACTTTCGTCAGGTCGGATTGAAGTAAGGCTGCCGTTTGAATCAGATCCAAATTGTTTAGGCAACTCCTTTAAGGTTACTAAACGGCGGTTTTTGTCGCATAAAAAAAGATTGTATCATGACCCTGAGTTGAAGAAAATTTACTGGAATTCATGAAGAAGTTTCTCTCCTTTGGTTCTACTGACAATTCTATTCCTTCTACCAAAGCTGCTAAAGTTATTGGGTCAGACTTTTACGTCGGTGACTTCTTGACTGTTGCTGCATGCGTAAAGGAGCTAAGGGTAATTAAGTGCCAAGTGTCTCCGGTTCTTCAGACCGCAGAGTTTGAGTTGACTAAGTGGTTTTCAAACTTTTCCGAGATCACCGCATCTGAGAGCATAACCAAACAAATAAAAATCTCAGATTCAGAGTGGACAAAGGCGCTAGCAATCTCATGGTTACCTAAAGACTATACTTTTAAGTTCAAAATTGACAATTCAGTTATGGGTCTCCTGGCGACAAAACGGAACATATTATCGGTGACACCTAAGTTCTTTGGCCGTCAGGCGAAAATCTTCTAGCTGAACCCTCCACGAGGGTGCCGTCTGGGCAATGGACAATGCATTACCCCAGGCAAGGGTAATGGGATATGGCTAGAGGTGCCTGGCGGTCAGGGAAGAAGGTTCGGGAAGATGGCGTGGGGCTTGGGTAGTGTCTACCTGCGCCTCAAAAAGCGCCACCCCGAAGATAAGGACGCACACACCCTACAGGCACCCGGAGCATTTAGTAACGTGGCTACGAACGCAATAAAAAATAGCCTGGAAGCGACTAACATAACAACAACTAACAGCAATCAATCTGTAAATACAGAACCGCCTAGGTTGTAAGCGAGGCACACCTCAGGATGGAGTCCTGTTGCCCCTCCTGTCGAATCTGGTGGTCGACGACCTGACCAAGATATTTTTAATGGAAGGACCCAACAAGGCCCCTTAAAGGAACGTACACTCAGGGATATACGTGAGTGGGCGGAAGCAGTAGGATTCAGTATCAACGCGGACAAATCGGACCAAGAGGTACAAGGCACTGATATGGACCCCGAAAACTTATGAAACTAAGGTAACTCCAAAAACAAAAGTCAAATACCTGGGCACAGTACTGTGCAGCAAATTGGTATGGAAACCCAATGTAAGGGGAAGGGGTGATGAATGCCACCATTGCGCTTTACGCATCCAAAAAGATGCTCAGCATCACAAGGAACCTGTCAACTGCTATAATGCACTGGATTTACATCTCGGTGGTGCAATCAACGCTGCTATATTGAGTCTTAGTGTGGTGGCAAGCTACTGAAAAGAAGACGTATCACAAGCTTATGGTTCTGCTCTGTATTACTGAGGCACTAAGGTCAACGCCAAAAAAAGCACTCGAAACCTTACTTGGAATCGACCCTCTGGACTTCCACGCTCGTCTGACTTCAGGAAAGGTAGCACAGCGCCTCATCACATCAGGAAACATGTCGTCGCAAGAATACGGGCATAGTTCAATTGGCAGGACATGACCAGATCCACTGATTACATGACCCCCAAAATTGCCTCGACGTCAGAGGAACCTCATCTTTGGGACCCGAAGACTGGAAAAATGGAATGGGCCAAACTGAGCACCTCAATATATACACAGACGACTCCAAGATGGACGGAGGAGTAGAAGCGGGCCTATATTGTACAGACCCTGAGATAAGACTGTCATATCTATCGGACCAATGCAGCATATTCCAGGCGGAAGAGTTTGCCATCAGGAAAGCAGCAGAGGTCGCTCTGCTTGATAGTCTGAAAGCAGATGAAGGAGTAACACCACATGCAGAACCACGAAAACCATTTGCGAGGAACGCATTGGAAAACTCACTCACTACCACGGATGGACTGCATACTGTTAGTGGGAATACTCAAAGGCCACTGTCTAATTTTAGCGCACGCTGCAAAGCTAGCCATCACCAACCGAGACAGCTGTAGGAAATGTGATGAACCTGGGGTAATCGAAACCCGGGAACATCTCATCAGCGACTGTCCGGTTGCAGGCATCACTGGAAGATGCCTCCAAGAGGACACCACAGGAACTACTTAACTATGCTAATAACACCTCGATTCTTGAGGACTTTAATATCCCATAAATACAACCGCGACAGTTCATACCCCCTATCCGCATAACTAAGGGCCATATTGGCCTATGTGTGGCCTATGTATGCACCTAACCCTGGGATTCAGCTTTCTGTGTTCAATGTGCGACATGTCGTTGTATGAACTGGCACATTTATATACTGTATGGTTACTGGCATTTTGTAGCTTTCAAAATTAAACCCCTATCGCTTTTGATAGTATTGGCGAAATAAGAATACGATTAATTGACCACAATAAAGCGGTGCAGTGGCGACCATATAGACTAAGTCCTGAAGAAACAGAAATAGTTCGGTCTAAGATAAGTGAGTTAATGAAATTTAAAATTATTCCACCCAGTCCTATTTGGCTTGTGAAAAATAAAAATAGTTCGGATGGACTTTGTATCATTATAGAGAGTTTAACTCAAACAAGGTTTGTGTTATTGTGTTAGCGAACATTCCAGTAGCAGATAATTTTATGATTTGTACATTCGTATTTTTACACAGTTTAACTGTCAATAGTTCCAATCAAAATCCCTAATAAATCCCTAGTCCTATATCTATTGACACCTCGAAAGTAGGATGGTAGGCGTCTTCAAGTATGGTGAGCGGAAGGGCTTGGGTTTACAACACTATGGTCGGATCCGATACAAAGCCCAGATCAAGCAATCGACCCAAGGTCAAGCAAGCCGTCAACATCATGTTGTGACATGGGCACTAGGATACTAGACTCGCTTACCGAAGACCAAACAGTTCCCGGCAAGTTGAAGTCACCAAGAACTATCATACTATCTTTATCAGATAGCGAGGAAGAAACAGCGGTTGAAGCGGACAAGTGCTGCTCATAAATTGAAATATCCGAAAGAGGTGGGATATACGAGCAAGTAATAAATATATAGAAAGCGGGAAGAATCAGTTTTACACAGTAATTCCAGTTGAACTTATACTGGGAAGTAAGAGTCCACTGCAATTAGAACCCCCCCTGCACGTCGAGACGAACGGTCCTTTCTAAAAGTTGTGTACCGACCTGCCAAAATCTCGGAACTAAGAATGTCCGGCTTTAACCAGGTTTCAGTAAACACATGACTTGGTGCATATGACGCAAATCAATGTACTCCCTCATAAAGGCGAAATACCGCTCCTTGAGTGTAGCATTACGCTCCAGTTTACGCTCCAGACTGATGAACCGTCGATAAGCCTGAGCCTGATCCTAAGCGATCATTATTGTTCTTTAGCGGCAGACGAACTGTATACTCTCCGGATGGCAACCGTGAAAGGTGGCTTACGAAGTGTGCTTCACAATCGTCTTCTTCTTTGGTATTCAAACCAGCCTCCACACAATTCTCGACTTCCCAAAACATACGAAGAGTTTTATCCAACCTTGCTTCCATCTCAGCTACCAAATCTGGACAATTGTGCGTGGCCAAAAGCGCCGAGCTTGATACCTTCTGTCCACCGCCAGATACGATCCACCCAAGCCGGGTCTTCTGCAGAAGAGGCAGGCCATCGGTGAGTTTGATTTGCCCTACGCAGAGATCATAAGAAAAGCTCGCACCAATGAGGAGATCAACCCGTTGAGGATAAAAAATGCAGGATCGGCAAGCTGAATGTTAGATGGAATACTCCAATCGGATACATTTACTGCCATACTTGGTTGACAATCGGTAATCGTGGGGACGATGAGAGCAGTAAACGAAGTTGTGTTATCAGAGGTGCGAGAATGCATACAAATGCTTATGGTGCATCCCTCAGTAGAAACGCATTGCTGGTTTGGTTTTTCTTTGTTGCTGTCCATTTTAGCTTGTTGCTCAGAATACTATCACAGACTACCTTATTCTGCTATGGCTTAGAAAGTTTGTACCACTATCGCCTGCAAACACTGCTTGCTAGCAGAAATTTCTTATTTATTTCATACAAGTATCAACAAATTCTGCTCGCGTATACATTTTTCGAATCCGAGTACTATGCTCAAACTGGCACAACCAAAATGGTGCAAGTTCAGAAAAACCGTCTTCAAAGGATTAATTTACTCAAAAAAATAACAATATACGGATATAAAAATCGACCAACCTTAGCCAGCAGCTTGCCAATACCATGACCGCCAAGTTCCTTAGGAACTTTGGTGTGATCAATGTGCATAACTCCATCTCGAATAAAATAGCCCAACTCAGCCTTCATTCCGTGAAGATGAATAAAAAAACGTTCTTGATCTTGTTGAATGCTTATTTTCATACCCATAAATCTCTCAGTTCGGTACATATGACAAGTTTTAAGCATAATTAAATTTTGATTAACAGAATTTAAGTAGTTGTAACATAATTTTGTAGGCAGTGAGTATGTACGATGACCCGCATAAAAACTCAAACCATTCATAAAACGGAGTTTGTAAAAAGTTCTTATTGGGGATAGCATCAGAAAATATTTCAACAGAATAACCAATTTCAATTAAATTAATGTTTTTAATATTAGCGCTTCTGAACAATCTCAGTCCGCATATGTACATAATATGTACTACATATACACACATACACATTAGTGATGGGAGGAGCATCGATGTATTGAAATATTTTTCAAAATCGACTTGATGTGCAATGTAAAAAAACTGTATAAATATGCCCCATATAAAGGGTATAGGGTGAGAAAGTTGGGTTTCCGCTATTTTTTCTTTTGTTTTATAATCTTGTTTTTCTTTAGTATTACCTTGAGAACTTAAGTAAGTAATTTTAAAAAAAAGTAGAAGTAAATAACCGGTTGAAAAATTGTAACATCCATAGAGACTCCATCCATAGGCTCTGCACACTGAGTCCATCCCGGGGGAATGGTGGGATTTTTTGACAGATGTGAAACTCCGATTCACACTCCACCAATCACCATCCAACCACATTAAATTTACGCGGAAGTTTTTTTTTTTCTTTTAATGGATAATGACGATGTAGCAATTATTTCGGCTGTAGTTCAGAACAAAAATATGTGAACATATGACTTTAATCAGTCAGCAGAACAGATACGATCTGCAATCGCACTAAACTTACTAAGAAACTAAGCATGCAATCAAAATACAAATACCACTACAATTACTAATTTCTAGAAAGGTGTGTAAGGATTAGTAATTTAATAAGAGGAAGAGAATTAGTGGTGGATATAATATGGTAGAGGGAATTATAATCCGAGCATAAGACCCTAAACAGTTCATGCAAGGAATAATTCGATCTACAAAGTGGAAGGAACAACGGTATAAAATGTCTAGTCAGTCTAATAGGAATCGTGAAGTTTATGCGGCTCAACAGATCAGGGCTGTCTATGTCACCCCTGATCAAGTTGTGGATAAAAATCATCATATTGACCACCTTTGACCACCTGTTTATAAACCCAGCACGCTATGGCCTTATCTACAATGGTAGAAATGTGTTCGGAGAACTTTAACTTTGCGTCTACTAAGACACCAAGATCATTCACCAGGGTAATTCTCTCAAGAGAACCGCCACCTAGGGTAAAGGTATCCAACAAGGGGCTAGAACGACGAAATGTCATTACTTTGCATTTCGAGGCATTAAGGTTTACCAAGCTTTCACAGCACCATGACTGAAAGTTATTGAGATCGGATTGCAAGCGAGAATGAAATGAAATGTCCTATTACTGGACACAGAGTTTAACATCATCCGCATACATAAGTACTCAAAAGTATGTTAATACCGAAGGCAAGTCATTAATAAAGAGTGTGAAGAGTAAGGGGCCTAGATGGCTGCCCTGTGGTACTCCCGAAGAAAGGAGACGTGACGAGGAGGAGGAGGAAGTGAGTTCCAGTAGAAAATCAAAGAAATCAAAGAAAAAAACGGAAGAAAAATTGGTGATCGTGGAGCTGAGAATCCCTCCACGACATCGGTAATAGGAGGAATCAACTTCCGCTGGAGCGGAGGACGTCGGCAGCAGCAGACCGGTACTGGCCAGGCCGGAAAACTGGGGTGCGAACACCCAGAGAATCACCAGTACAGGAGAAGGCAGCGGAGCACCGACGGCCGAGAGCAAACCTTTGCCGCTACCCCATCGGGAAAGGAATCCGGACTCCAAAACAAAAATACACACACACACACGATTCATATCACCCACCTTCATCCACACACAACCTACGCACGTATACCCTCATTTCACAACACATCACAACCTCCCATTTCACAGACATACACCCGTCCGACCCACAATTAAATAAATAAATAAATAAATAAATAATAATAAATAAATTATAATAAAATAAATAAAAAATTAAATAATTATCACGATTGAACAAAAAAAATAAAGATGAAGACAAGAGAGAATATAAATATAAGTACATATCCGGATGACAATGTGGTACAGTGATCATTGCAAATAAAAAAACAATAATCGGATTTTACTTTACTGGTGCACAACTGGCTATGCTATATGGATTGGCGAATATTGGGCTGCTAACGCAAAAATTGCTTAACTGTAACAAAAATAAATGTTATCATATATTTGAGAAATTTAATACATGATTCAATAATATTTGTATAATTTATATTATAAGTGAATAGATAAAATTAACAAATAGTAGCTGTATGATAGTCTTAGTTTAAGGCATCCGCTCCAGTTGTGGGTAAAATCCAACATAAAAAGGCACTTGCTGTAATTTTTTACAAGATTTCATTTTAATATGTCAATTTAAGCTAGGTAGTGGCATAATTAAATACTTACCGAACAGCATACCCGAAAAAATGATTATTGGTATTATGCAGTTTAAATCAATGAGCAATCCGAATATAAGGTTTCCCAATAAGGCTCCTCCGCGTCCAAAAGTCATGGACATTGCCGCTGCCATTACCCTATATTGGATATTTTTCGTTGATTTATTTATGTTTCATTTAATTAAGTAAGCAGGATTCTTTTGTCTGTATAGTTATGGGGGGCCTATTTTTCTTGTTAGCGTTAAACTTCTTCACCACCAAATGTTCCGCCAAAATTTGGCGGAGCAAACGGTGTCAAATTGAGTTGGGGAGATGCTTAACTTAAACGAGGCTATCATTAAATTAAATTAAATTTGTCCACCTTTAAGCCCACGGCTTTTATTTAGCTTTGAATAAAAGCAATTACATCATTATATGTGAGGTCAGGGGCCAGCCGTGAAAAAAAAACTTGTCGTCCTGGTGGGACTCCCACCAGTGGTTTAGACACCACAGGCCTAGTACCTGTGGTGGCAATATCCGGAGGTCCGGACCTTCCGATCAGTGGTGGGATCGGAATAGACGGGACGGAGCGTTGAATTCGGATACCGAATCTCCATCGCCAGCAGCTGTCGTTGTCCTTGGAGTCGCAAACGAACCCAACTGCTGCACCCCGGGAGTAGTCGAAGTCAGTTTTTCGGCGGCGAACGGCTGAGTGACGGTTGGCACTTGCAGATCCCGCGGAGTGACCCTTTTACGTCTCGGAGACTCATTCAGCAGTTGCAGACTGCCAAATTGAGACTAGGAGACCATGGCTAGAAGCCGATCGTACTGATTTTTAAAGCCAACGTTCAGCTCCTTAAAGCCCTTCTGCGTCTGCCTCATAAATATGACCATGTCAGTCTCAACCTCACGGCAACCTCGCAACTGTAATGCAACCCCTTACGTTTGGCTATAGCATCACTCACGAGGCCAGAAAATCCAGCGCATTTTGCGTGCACTTCGCTGTCGTAGAGCCAGCAGGGACATTCGGCTGATCCTGGGTGATCTGCTTCTTACAAGTTTTTTTGGCGCAGACCACAGCGTATTCCATTTTTATTCTTTATTTATTTAAAAAATTTCAAAACAAATTGTTATCAGACCAATGGGCCAGACAACGCTTAAAGCGGAATTAGTAAAAAACAGAGCAGGGTGGAGAGCGGTTATAGCGAGAGCAACTAAACCCATTCTGGCTGCACTCAGCATCGGCGACGTTCCAGCGAGCCTTGGACAGCGTCATCGGACCACAAATAGAATCCAACGCTTTCGCTTACCTCGATGACAGCATGGTCATCGGAGCGGCGTTGGAAGAACACGTCGACCATCTGCGAGAGGTGTTCCGAAGACTACGGGTAGCGAATCTAAGATTGAACCAAAAGAAATGCGGCTTCTTCCAGAAAAGCAACGTATACCTGGGGCACGTCATTAGAGAGCAGGGTATACACACCGATCCAGATAAGATCGTCGCCGTCCGGAAGTTGGCCCCACCAAGTTCAATAAAGGAGCTTCGACGCTGCCTAGGGATGGCATAGTGGTACCGAAGGTTTGTCCCGAACCTTGCGACGATTGTACAACCAATGACTAGCCTCCTGAAGAAGGAGAAAAGGTGGAACTAGAGCGCCGAACAGCAATCCGCCTTCGAGGAGCTGAAGGAGAGACCCACGGATGTCACGGAGAAATTTGCTCTACAAACTGATGCAAGCGACTACGGCCTAGGAGCAGTCCTGACGAAGCAGATCAACGGAGGGGAGAGGGTCATAGCCTACGCCAGTCGAAGGCTCCTGAAAGCAGAAGAAAACTACTCGGCCACGGAAAGGGAGTGCTGAGCCATCGTCTGGGCCATCAAGAAGTTACGATGTTACCTGAAGGGCTACCACTTCGACTTCATCACCGACCATCTCGCCCTGCAGTGGTTAAATTCGATCAACAATCCGACAGGCCTCATCGCTCGTTGGGCTCAGGAACTCCAACAGTATCGCTTTGACGTGCTGTACAGACGCGGAAGTCAAAACATCGTAGCAGACGCCCATTCCCGGCAACCTATCGACACCATAAAGCGAACTCCAGTAGACCTACCCACCTGCCCCCTGGATACAAAGGTTGTTCAAGCGTATCCAGTCACGACCTGAGGAATGTAGAGAATTCCTAATCGAGAACGGACAGATCTACCGGCAGCCTGGATACCGACCAATCAAGGAAGAATCTCACCAGTAGAAGCCAGTGACTATCATAGCCGAATGTTGTAAGAATGTAACGATCACCCGACCGCCGGACACCTAGGAATAAGGAAGACCGCCACTCGGGTAAGCCAACGATATTACTGGCCAGGACTCTACAGAGACGCGGCCCGATACGTGAAACATTGCGAGAGCTGCCAAAAATTTAAGGTGAGCCAGAACAAACCCGCAGGACAAATGTATACGCGCCAGGCTAAGGGCCCATTCTACATCCTTTGCGCGGACTTCGTAGGCCCACTTCTTCGACTCATTCTGCAAATGGGTGGAACTTGTGCCACTCCGGAAAGCCACCACCGCCGCAGAAGGCGTTTCGAGAGAGGATACTCTGCCGATTCGGGGTCCCGTGGAATCTCTGTCAGATGACGTCCCGCCTCCCGCCAACGGCGGACTACCCCCACAACTTCCCGCTGAGGAAGGAATGGACTTAGGCTCCGAAGAGAGCCTCCCGCTGGCGTACAGCGATATAGCCGACCTGCTGCAGCTCCTCCGACTCCTCCCTGGGGTAGCTGCGGTGAAGGACGACGAGGAATGGGCAGAGGCTCTCCTTAAATGGCGCGGCTGTCGCGACCAGCGAATGCCAGTCTGCATCGGACGCCACACACAAAGCGTTTGTGTGTTTCGAGGAAAATTGAAAACTTTATGATCAGTATGGAATTTTGTAGTTCAACTATGATGAACACCCTCCACTTGCTTAATTTTTCAGCTTCGACCAGCATTGCAATACATTTGAATGGCTTTTCTCCAAATTTAATAATGACTTACGTTTAAATGGCTCTGGAAGGAGATATTTGTTGGTGGTGCATAGAATAGACCTTGTTTTCTTTATTAAAGTTGAGTCGATTGCTTAAGCCCTTTGACTTTCAAACATACTGCTCGTATACTCGTTTGTAAGAAAATGCCAGGCGGAAAAACATGCAATGTGCAGCATTGCTTTGTTCTTTATATGCGCGAATCAAAAGAAAAAGAAAACTTGGAATAACAGCTGGACGCTACAAAAGCTCGCCGAGCGAGAAAGAAGCAAAGCTTTTTTTTGGGGTTGCAGGCTGATAATGCAGCACAGTTCGTCGCCGTCGGTCGTGGAAACTACTTTCTCTGTGCTCTGTTATTCGTTTTCATCTTCTGATTTCGCCTTCCGACATGGGCGACGCCATGAATGTGAAGGTTAAGGACATCGAGACACTATTTTCAACGGATGGCTACTTGAGGCCTTTCGAGCGTGAGATTCGACGACGGTAAGTAAGTCCGCCCGCTGCCGGCTGTCGGCTGTCGGTCATGTAATCCAAGTTTGGCGACGGCTTTATGTGTGCGGCTGATAAGCTCCACCCTCCGGTCTGTTGTCCAGTGCCGGTCGCAGATGCATAATCATATCAGTTGCCTTGGCCTGCAGGCTTGAGCGCTATGCAGTTGGAAAAACTGTGTTCGCAATGTGATTGGAAGGTCACCGGTGTTTGTTGCCTCCGTGCGTGTGAATGTGCATTCATGCTGAACAGGGACGAACTTTGTGGCCGGCAATAAAGTACTTTATTGATTCGCCGAGTGGCAGTGCAGTACAGAACTAGCCTTGCGTTCATTTATTATTCGTTTAACATCTGTAATCCTTTTATTCCTTCAGTTCAATTATATTCAAAAACACGAATGCTCTAGAATATTACTTGCATAATGTGAGTCGTTTGACTTATTATTTAAAACTAACTCAATATCTATTAAAAAATCTTAGTAGTAGGAGCACAAATTGTATATGAACGAAAACAAAAATTCATTACAAAATCCAACCTGACGGCAAAATATAGTCTATTTTTTATATATATATTTGTCCAAATCTGTCTAAAAAGTTTGTTTGGTGTTGCATAGGGTAGTCAAGAACTTACCTCAAATTTGTTGGGAATAAATCCACCAAGACACAATATAAAGTACTGATGCTAAGCGAAGTTAGTGCTTCAAAAATGCATGACAAAATTAAGTTTTCAAAAGAACTTCGAGCGAAATAAAAACCCAAAGTTACAAATCCGGCTGCCGTCAAACTGAAAACTAAAAAAATAATATTTCGTTTGTTCATATTATATTAACAATAATAAACTTCTAGTATTTTTATTACGTACCCAAAAAGAATTTGATTCCCAATTTGTGAACACATAGTGGTAGCCAGAAACTTGTTGGTATGCAAGCCAAACCAATTATAAATGTGTGAAAGAACACTGTATGATCGATTTCCGACTCGCAGTCTACAAAAGTTCTGAAGATAAATTTAATTAATTAATTGAGAATCACAGTCTGGAAATGATTATAATCATTAATAAGGTTATTTTAAAGTTATTAAATTTAAAGTAATTAAATATTTGACTGAAGAAAATGTTGCCTGCCTTTGTAATGAAATAGAACTCGACCGCAATTTTTAGTGTAAAGAACAGTCACAAACTACAAGAGGCAACAAAATTTGTACCTCTGTCAACCAAAACCGAATAAAAGGTTAGAACTGCTCCATCACGTCAGGTTTTTTTTTTAACCTCATAACCTTATAACCTTTTATCGAAACCTGGCTTAACTCCTCTATCAATGATTATGAAATTTTCATAGACAATTACACTATTTATAGAATGGACCGCCCATCTTTTGCTGACGGGGTTCTGATTGCAATCATATCTGATTTCTCATCTGATTTTTGCCCATTCAATAAGATCCATGGAATTGAATTTGTTGCCGTCAAAGTTTGTATTGTGTCGGCATTTTTCTATTTAACCTGATCCTACATTCCTCCCAGGTCTGATCCTAAGGTTTACTTAAGCAACATTTTTTAATCTGACAGTTGGTTGAATTTTTTTGTTTCTGTAAAATAATCCTCCACTTCCTGTTTAGTGGGAGGAATATCTAATAAACTTATCATTTCTGAAGAATAACTACTTTCCGATTTAATTTGTGATCTCACATATCTAATGGATGAAATATATGGATCTGAAGAGGCTGCCAACATGTTGAAAAGGTCTTGGTTTTGCTTAATTTGGGATGTCTGGCACATATTCATGTTCCTGTATTTTTTGTAATCTTTGTTTTTTGTTTCCTGGGCTTCCTCTGACATCTCTCTAATTGGTATGCTCTGATGTTCAATTAAAATTTGACCTTAGCTTCTTTTCAGGATATTTTTCCAGTAACAGCTCTGCAGTCTTCGAGGCATATTCACCAAACTTGCGGGTAATTATTTTTTCTTTGCAGTTTAAAATATTTAAAATGACACCCAATCTTTTGATAATGTTATCCACCCAGTTATTTCTGCAGTAGTTTCGTTTTTCTCGAAGAATGTCCGCGATGAGTTTCCATCGTTTGTGTTTCCAAATCCTTGTTTGGGGCAGTCCACCTTCAGTGATAGTTTGTCTAAGAATTTTTCTTGAATAATTTTGTTCCTAGTCTTTTGTATTTCGTTGGCTGGCGTGCTGTTGTCAAAAGATTCTCCCTCTCGCGGAATGGTATATGCAAGCTTTAGAATAAACTCCATACATCTAATTCTTGCATATTCTAAATTTTCCTCTTCAAAATTTGGATTCATTAAAATTTGGAAATTCCTTCTGTGTTTTTTTGCAAAATTCGCATTTCAAGGTCGATTTAGTATTAGTAAGTTCGTTAAGAACTTTTTCATCAATCATAGTAAGAAAATTCAAAATTAACACTAATGGATTTTTCTTCGTTGACTTTATGTACAAACGGTCTTATATTTGAAATCTGATTCTTAATATCACTTACAGTGGATGCCTTCATATGCCCTGCAAAAAGAAATCTAGAATCAAATAAGACCCCGAGGTCAAGTATCTCCGTCTGCTTTAAGAGAGGATGGCCATCTATTGAATATGAGGCCAGCACATTGAAGACACACTTGCTGAAAGAAACAAAGTAACATTTACTAATGTTGAGTGGGACCGAATTAAGTCTGCACCAACGAGCAACTCTATCCAGGTCGCGCTGCAGAAGGATACTGTCGCCTAAGGTTTTGACAGATCGGAAGATTTTAAGATCATCAGCATAAAGCAGATGCTCAGAAGCTTGAATGCTGAGACATATGACGTTAATAAAAATTAAGAACAGGTTCATAACGGAAGGAAGAGAGCTCGTTGAGCTTTTGGACTTTAGAAAATGCCAAAAAGACCTGGGATTGACTTTAGGCAAACTCCCTCTTATGTTGTACATACCTCGCCCAATCTACAGGGTCCCGGGTCTTACCAAATCGCTTAAAGTACTTATTACGAAGATTCTTATATTTCATAAGAACCTTCGTATACCACGGCAGTCTATAAGAGCCATGCACCCTTTTGGAAGCTTTTGTTACCAATAATACGACGGACCGTATGCAGGAAAAAATTATAGGACGTGTCTACACTAGGATGCGAGAGAACAGAAGCCCCATTAACTTTTAACATACTATCAATAATAGCATTACACTAGAAAAGAAGCATTCATAATATGGTTCCGCCCAGGGCGAATAAAAATGGAAATTGACTAAGAATTCCAACGGCATATGATGCAAGTCCCATTCTGCGATGGGGAGTTCGCAACATGTAACATGGTAATCTATATCCGAACTAACAAAAATTAAGTCTAGAATCATTATTGGGATAAGCCCATACTAAAACAGTCATTTAGGAAAAGAATCTCGTTCGGCAAATGTACATTACTAGGTATCATAGCCGAAGATTGCGGATCGCCGGACCATACCAACGAACCCAAATTGAGGTCGCCAACAACGCAGAGGTGCTGACGGTCTCGCAGATTACTATAAATGTTAGCAATGTTCTGTGTGTGCGCCTGTGAATGTACGATGCGCTAATAAATAGCCTCTACAACTGGCCAGCCCCCGCCGCACCAATTTAATCCAGAACTGAGTCAGAGAAGCGAGGCCCATGCCTAGAGCTTGCCTAAGCGTTGAAGTCCGAATCAGTAGCACACCATCCTTGTCCAGAAAAGAGGGCAGGGAAGCAGCGGAGAGAGCCAATCTCTGTGACGACGCTGAAGAGAGTGTTGAAGAGAGTGTACCACAAAAGAGCGCACGACGGGCTACTGACTCTTCCCAAATGTCGAGAGCAGCGACGGCGCAAACATAACATACGAAGCAATGCATTTACGTTTGTTGTTGTAATGATGACGTTAGAAGCGCACGTAGTCGCGAGAGAGCGCAGATCGAAAAGTCAATGTTTTGTTGTTGTGTCGAAGAGGATTGCCAAAATAAAATGAATATATTTTGTTTAAAGACTTTCTTGACAGTTTCAAAAATGATTAATCATTGTTTTTGTTGTTTTGTTATTTTTTTTCCACAAACTACTTTATAATCAATCACGGAATTTTTATGAACTAAAAAATTTTTAAAATTTGAATCAAAGGCCATTATTTTCTTATCTAAATTCATAAAATTAAATTTATTTTTAGTTTGCAAGGAGTTTCTTGACATACTGTAATTATACCAGGGGAAAAATTTAGGGGTTGTACCTTCTATAAATTTTCTTACGTATTTGATGTAACGATTGATGAAATATCACAAACCGATGCGGGTATTCCAGGATGGACTTTCTCATAATCATCATATCTTTGAAATATTTCTGGGAACCAAACCATCAATGTATAATAGCTGTCATTGATTAAAATAATTGTTAAACAATTTATATTAATTATTATTATTATCATATTAATATGATATTATTTTGACTCACCTCGTGGTAAGACAGAATTGAATAGCACATGTTATAACGGAGTTCTTCAAGTACGGATGCTTGTATAGAGTTTTTGTTTGATCCCAAATCTCCACAGATAAATTTTTGAGTTCAGTAAAATTACCTATTCGTTGATTCTGAATATTCGTCTCTCCATCTCTCTGAAGTGGTCGAATTGACTCCCTCAGAGTAGTGCACTGATTGAAAAAAAGTAATATGTAATGATTTAGAAACAACTAAGTGAAGCTAGCTGCTGGTGTCAAACTTTTTAAATCAGTTAATATAGAAATCTTACTATAATTTATTGTTTGAGATGCCAAGCTTTTTTGGCACCTATGTGTTTCAAAAATGAAAAGAAAATTTGGTTTAATCTTTATAATTCGTATTTAATTTTGGTGGCTTAGCGGAAACCGATTGTTTGCTATGGCCAAAAAGAATTTAGGCGAGATCGATATGCAACCAATGCGCAGAGGGGTTAGCATAGAACTAAAATAGACGACGGCGCCAGATCGAAGTGATTGCCGAAGTGGTGACGGCAGATCAAGGTAATTGCCGAAGTGGCGGCGGCAGAGAGCCCCTTTAGCGGGAGAGCACAGCAGCTCTGCAGAAAGTCAACGTTTTACAACATAGGCGGCTCTCTCTGCTCATACAGTGATAATGCTTAAAGTTACGGTTATTATTTGGCGGCTGGCCCGAACATACTCCCCCCGTTGCGAGCTAGTCTCTCAACAGATTCCTTAAGGGGCAGCAAGCATAGCCGAGTGACGGCCCTCCTGATGTTTCCTGAGGATGTCTTCAGGTCAGCGACGTGACACACTCCGTCCTTGCCCATAACGACATCGACCACTCTAGCCAGTGGCCAACGCATTGGAGGAAGATTTTCGTCCTTCACCAGAACGAGATCGTTCTTGCAGATGTTTTGCGCGGAGGTACGCCACTTCGCGCGCACTTGCATAAGAGTGAGATACTCTTCGCGCCAACGGCTCCAAAATATTTGTTGTAGTTGGGTGACCCGCTACCAGCTATCAAGACAATTGTAGTTCAGCTTCGTTAGGTCAGGCTCGAGGATTTGCTCATGGGGCCGCCTAGAAGCAGATGAGCAGGAGTCAAAGCGTCTAAATCATCAGGATTTTCCGAAAGCGAGAGCAAAGGGCGAGAGTTAACAATTGCAGTGATCTGACAGATCAGAGTGCGCAGCTCGTCGAAGCTAAGCACAGATGGTCCAACTGAGCGGTACAGGTGATATTTTGCGGTCTTAACGGCCGCTTCACACAGCCCGCCAAAATGCGGAGAGCGTGGTGGGATGAAACGCCAGTCGATCGAGTCAGCCTACCAGGATTCATGGACCTCCTTTATATGCGGTTCGCTCAGACAAAGATTCTTAATCTCCAAAAGCTCGTTCTTGGCCCTAACGAAATTTGTCGCATTTTCCGACCAAATTTGACTTGGCCTTCCTCGAGTGAAGGTAAAACGCTTTAGTGCGCCTAGAAACGATTCGGTGGTCAAATCCTTTACGAGTTCCATGTATATAGCCTTAGAAGTGAAGCAGATGAATACGCTAATGTAGCACTTGATCGGAGGCCTCGTGCGGATTTCTAGTCGGTAGAAAAAAGTTCCACAGTAATCTACTCCAGTGACTTCAAATTCTCGAGTTCCTTCCGAACGTTCTTTAGGTAGGTCTCCCACGATGTGTTCGATCATGCGCGGCCTAGTCCTGAAGCATATCACACACTTGCTGACGACCCTTCACACTGCTTTAATACCTCCAATATTCCAGCCGAATTTTGGATAGCAAGGCGCGAGGTCCGGCATGGAAGTTTCTTTCGTGATAATATCTTATCAGCGCAAAGGTAATGGAATGTCCCTTTGGCAGATTGAGCGGGTGCTGAGCGTCAAAGCCTAGCGATGAGTTTCCAAGACGACCTCCAACTCTAAGTAGTCCAGAATGATCGATGAACGGGTTGAGCGAACTAATAGAACTGGATTTCATGACTTGACCATTGCGCCGAATCTCCCTTATGTCCATCCAAAAATCCTTACTGTCCTCCTTTAGGACACAGTGATGAGGCAAGAAATATTTGCAGAGGCTACGGGAATCAGGGTTGACCTGGTGCATATTATGCAAATCATTGTACTCCCTCATAAAGGCTCCTTGAGTGTAGGATTACGCTCCAGTTTTCGCTCCAGACTGATGAACCGTCGATAAGCCTGAGCATAAGATTCTCCTAAACGATCAGTACTGTTATTTAGTGGCAGACGAACTGCATACTCCCCGGATGGCAACCGTGAAAGGTGGCTTACGAAATGGGATTCACAATCGTCTTCTTCTTTGGTATTCAACCCAGCCTCCACACAATTCTCGACTTCCCAAAACATACGAAGAGTTTTATCCAACCTTGCTTCCATCTCAGCTATCGAATCTGGACAATTGTGCGTAACCAAAAGCGCCGAGCTTGATACCTTCTGTCCACCGCCAGATACGATCCACCCAAGCCGGGTCTTCTGAAGAAGAAGCAGGCCATCGGTGAATTTGATTTGCCCTACGCAGAGGAGATCATAAAAAAAGCTCGCACCAATGAGGAGATCAACCCGTTGAGGATAAAAAATGTAGGATCGAAGTTTTCGCACAGTTCAATCTCGCCTTAATCGAGCGCTTCCACTTCATTAATGGCCTTATTGAACCCCGATTTCCGCGGCGGTCAGTTTGTCGATTTTATTGCCCGCGAAGGATTCACCAAGCCTGTGAAATCGACCTTATAAGGACTCAGCCTGTTAAAAATACCGCTTCAGCGAGAATGCGAGATCGAGAATAAAAGATACGAAAAGCTAAGAGCCAGTTGTGCATAGAATGAGAGATTCAATGCTTAAATTAACGGAAACTCACACGGCCGCACTCTTACTGAACTTGCACTTAACCAATTTTTAAGATGCTAAGCTTTTTCGGCAACTATTTCTTTGCAAATTGGAGTAAAACATTTAGGGTTAACGTTATCAAGATTATCTATAACGGCATCTTAGCTGAAGCCGATTGCTTGCTCTTTTCCTATAGACGTGATCGATAGCAAGCAGTGAGGTGAGAGATTAGCATAAGTATAACTAAATTTGGGCGACGACGGCAGATCAAAGCAAAAGCCGAATCGACCGCTGCAGAGCACCCTTTAATTGAGAGAGCGCAGCATCGCTGCCGAATGTCAGCGTTTGTGGTTCACTATGTAAATCTATAATCTAATTATGGTAACAAACAGCAATCATGTTTGAAGTTACGATGATTCATCAGCGGCTAGCCCGAAACAATCCGCTTTGCTCGATCGACATTATCAATTACAAAATTCTCCTAATTGCTGGTTTGGTTTCTCTTTGCTGCTGTCCATTTTAGCTTGTTGCTCAGAATACTATCACACACTACATTATTCTGCTAGGGCTTAGCAAGCATCAGTGAGTATGTACGATGACCCGAATAAAAACTCAAACCATTTATAAAACGGAGTTTGTAAAAAGTTCTTATTGGGGATAGCATCAGAAATGATGCGTTATTGATGATGAGTTATTATGTATGATTCTGCGTTTTTAGTTTTATCGTATCCTCAATATTGTGGATGCAACAGATTTTCGTTCTTTGTGGGGGCAGAAGGGGTTAGGACGAAATTTTGAAATATACGTTTTATAGTGAGATCTAACAGGAGTGCGGATACCAAATTTGGTTACTCTAGCGTAGTCTAGTCATAGTCTCTGAGATTTGTGAATATCCCCAGATTTTCGTCCTTTGCGGGGGCGGAAGGGGGTGTGTCGAAATTTTGAAACAAACTGGTCTCGGTCCGATATCACAGGAGTGTGGATACCAAATTTGGTTGCTCTAGCTTTTATAGTCTCTGAGATCTAGGCGCTAATGTTTTACTCTAAGCAAGTCCGGCTATGCTACGTGTGTGTTAGAGAGAGACAGGGCGAGAAAAAATGAAATTGTTTTCTTGATGCTGGCTATAATAATAATACGATCCCATTCAGATTCTGCAGTCTAAAAGATTTCTGCGTTTTTAGTGTTCTCGTATCGTCGAAATTGTGGATGCCACAGATTTTCGCTCTTTGTGGGGGCGGAAGTGGGCGGTGCGAAGTTTTGAAATATTCTTGTAGCAGTGACACATCACAGAAGTCTGGATCCAAAATGTTGTTGCTCTAGCTCTTATAGTCGGACGGACAGACGGACGGACAGACAAACATGACTCAATCGACTCGGCTATTGATGCTGATCAAGAATATATATACTTTATGGGGTCGGAAAGAATTCCTTCTGGACGTTACACACATCCACTTTTACCACAAATCTAATACACCCCAATACTCATTTTGAGTATCGGGTATAAAAAGCCGAGCCCACACGAACTTTGACTGCAACAAATTCAATTCCATGGATGTTATTGAATGGGACTAACTCAGATGAGAAAACAGATTGCACTGCAATCAGAAATTTCCCGACAAGCCAGACATGACCAAGACAGCGGCAAAGATCTACATAAACTGTTGCTACTTGTGCTTTTTTTCCTCTCCATTATTACTGCTTAATCTTTTAAAAATTATATAATCTAAAGCTAAATATTTTGGTCATCAAGTAACTAGCAGCAGTTCGAAATTGGCTTCTTCCATAAAACATACACGAGCTTAGAAAAAACTTTTCAAAAAAAATTCTCCTATGTTCAGCGCCGATCCTGGCTTATCCGGTACAAGGAGAGAAGTTCATATTGGATACAGATGCAAGTGACACAGAAATTGATGGAGTGTTGTCTCAAGTGATTGACGGGTAAGAAAGAGTGATTCCCTATCATAGCAAGGTTTTGTCAAAGCCAGAATTAAACTACTCTGTCACGAGAAGAGCTTTTGGCAATTTTGGAGAGCTTCAAGCGCTTCCAGAAGTATTAGTACGGGAAACCATTTAATCTGTGAACTGATCACGCAGCGCTTAGATGGCTTCTATAGTTCAAGGTTTCAGAAGGACAGCTCGCTGGATTGATAGAGCGGTTGCAAAGCAATGGCTTTCTTATTGAGCCCAGAAAAAGGCGATTATACGAAATACCGCACTATCATGTCGTCCTTGTGATTCTGAAAGAAGGCAATGTTGAAGTTAAGGAAAATATAATTGACATTAAACTTATGAATTTTTTCCTTGAGAATAAAAAGGCGGATGACAAAGGCCGTAAAGTTCAGCAAGATGATGAGGACCTCGCAATAATATATAGGGTCAAAGTATAACATGTAGCGGGTCCATTCCCATTCAGTGCCAGTGGAAATAAATATGTGCTCGTGCTAATTAAATTTTGTATGCGGCTTCGATAGATATCGTGTTCTTCAATATTCGGTAGCTCCAATTTTATTTACGCTTCCACATCCGCAAACGATCTACGGTCTTAAATTCAGATTTCTTGGTTTATCTGTTCAGGAAATGCGAAGATATATTTTTCAGTCATTAATTCTTACGGGATAGTTGCTGCGGCTTTGTCCAGTATTCTTTACATAAATAAGTGCTAAAACTTCTAAGGCCTTTTCCGATTCTCCGTGTTCCAGAAGAAATTTGGGACTTTCAGGGAACGCAAATAGCCAAAGACCCAATAAAATACTAAAATAAGAACAAGTTAAAATACAAATAAAAATGGTGATTAACAAGATAATTATAAACAAAAAAAGAAGTTATAAAAATGTACGTAATAAAAAAAATGTATGTATGTACATTAAATTTTCTAAAAATTATAAATTTAAAAAAACTGGGTTGCATACGGTACCTAAACCGTAAGAATGGGGTAAGTGGAATATGAGTTAATGTGTCGTTGGTATGGACTTAATCTGCTTTTATTGTCTGTTGTTTAATTGGGCAATTCTTATGGTCAGCAATTGTACCAGTGTTTTTGCCCTATGCAAAACGATCGCATTGTCCGCCGAGTTCGCTGCAGTAGCGATTTTCATTGAACCAGCTATAGTGCTGTGTCGTCAGGTGTTATGTTTAAATGAGTGAATAAAATGAATTCGATAACAGAGTCAAGTGTATTTCGTAATGCTACATATGTATTAGCGCCCTGCATGAGTGCACAGTTTTCAAAAAATTATCCCATCTCGCTTAACTGAATCGTGTGCTACTCGAACAAATAACTTAATTTGTACAATGTTGGGAGCTGGAATTGGTTTTGTTCCACCAATGCAAAACATGGAATTCGGCTTTCATAGGTACTCGTTTATTGGAGTACGCTACTATTTCTCTTGCCAAGACTTCTTCTTCTGACTGTTCTGAAAGCGGTTCGATAAAATCAGCTAGAAACTCTTCGAATTGATTTGAAAAAGTTGCCGACAGGTCTATGTTCTCCTTGTCATCAGTGAGAAACGATAGCATCATATCCTTACACATGAGGGTTCTATCCACTTGTCTCAATTGATTTGTTGTATTGGCCACCCATTATTTTTGCTTTTATATCGGCTGGTAATTCGACGCCAGATGGTGACAAGGACTGTGAATCAAATGTTCATATAATATTCGAATAGAAACACACGCATACATTTTTCTACTAAACTTACATATTCAAAAGAACCAAAAACCGAATTTTCAATTTTCAGTACTTAGCAAACAGTACAAGCACCGTCAGAAAATTAAATGAAAATGTCCTCGTTAGCTTTTTGACGTTTTCTTTTCTTTCGATTCGATTAACTCGCACATTCCACACTGCAGTGAGCGAAACAATGCACAACATACTGAGCACTCTCTCTCTGTCACAACGTTTTTCGTAACAGTGTGAGTGCGAGTCATACGAAATGACAGGAGTCACTCAACGGTTATGCCTTGAGTCAATGAGTCAGCAAATGAAGGAAAGAAAATGATTTGAAAGATTGTGTAAATGTCAAATGTTAATGTGTGTGTGTGTAACGAGTTTTTTTCAAAATTTCGCCACACCCCCTTCCGCCGCCGCAAAGGACGAAAATCTGGATATATTCACAAATCTCAGAGACTATACACGATAGAGTAACCAAATTTTACCCCTATTCCGCCCCCACAAAGGACGAAAATCTTTTGCACCCACAATATTGAGGATACGAGAAAACTAAAAACGCAGAATCATACATAATAACCATATCTATCAGATTGCTGAATCTGGATCAGATCGGATCATTTTTATAGCCAAAAGGAACAAATCAATTTGCAGTGGCTATGCAGCGCTCGACGTCACGCTCAGACTGATTTTCTGTCTCTCTCGCACGCACTCTTTGTCGTGTCCTTTAATATTAGCATCGTCTGCAGGAGGAGAGCCATGCTGTCTAAGTATCGGGTATAAATGTAGCGTTGCGGTATCCGCAGCAACTCTCAACGTTCCCCTTCGTTCTTATAGGAACGTTGCCGCAGTCCATGGAAGCGCTTTCTTCGCTGTTTCAACGAGATCAGTAAAATAAATCAAAGATATGTCGTACGCGATCCGAAGATAATATTGGATTTTTTGTTTCTTCTATTAGCAACGATTAATTGCATAGCCCGAAAGAAAACCTCACGTAGTCAAGAGCTTCTGCGCTTAAGAGGGTCTGTGCGCTCTCCCTTATGCCCTTCTGGCACCCATAAGCGCATATTGCGCGCATAAGAAACAGCTCTCTTAAGAACAAGGCGTAAAAGGGAAGATGCAAGACTGTTCGCTCTGACTCTCTTTCTTCTTTTCCAGCTACTACTGCAATAGCAAAACTAACCTGCCGTAACGATCGCTGCGCATAGTTTGACATTCGCTAGATAGCCTTTCTTTTTTCTCTATTTACCTATCATAAAAGTTATATATATACAGTAGTTAACCAAATTTTAATCTTAAGAGTTAATATTATATTTGCCTTATTGAATTTTCTATGAAATAATTTCTATTGCGATGCCCTGTTCTATTTTTTTTTTTAATACTAAATACAGTGGTTAACATGAACTCGTGCTAGAGTTCCTATATGCGGGGACCATGCTGGGCAAAGCAGGGTATTGGTGTTGTATAGGAGGCTGTAAACCCCTTCGTTAAGGGATCACCGGATGAGCCGGGAGCGGTGATCATGGTAGTGTGGGCATTTGTCGTCACGAACACACCGTGTCCCGAATTGTATCTGTGTACCTGTCCGTATTCGTGGTTAGGTGTGCTCATGTTTATATTTGTGTCCGATACTTCTCTTGTACGTGAAATTTTAATAAACGTTACTGTATCTATGGTATGATTGTTGGAGTAGAGTTGTGTCCCGTCCGTTCTTGGGAATAAACCAAGAGCTCTTCACTAGGAAGTACAAATTCCGACACTGACTCCCGCAAAACTCCTTGACAGAAAGCTTGATTTTAAATTGAGCATAGAGAACAGGGAAAAGATGGCCAAAGTGGCTCTCTACACCTGCAGGAAAACCAAAGTTCGGTGGCTCTACATCGCCATCATATGAGTGGGGATATGGTGGCCAGCCCTGTAAAAGAAACCTTGTCATAATAAACTCAGCTGAGTTCAACATATAACTGGCGCGCTACGCACTACTTCAGGTGAAGTCCTGGACACCTTCCTGGACCTCCACTTTACGCATCAGAATGAGAGAAGTCAGACAAAACATTTGGACACTCGGGAATCTTGCCGAGACTCCCGCAACTCCCAATTAGGGAGGACTGGGAGATGGGCGAACCGGGACCTGCACCTGGGGTCCACTTTTACTTTGATGACTTAAAGCTAGACGGCCGCGTGGGTGGTGGAGTCTACTGTAATGCTCACTATCAGTTACTGCTTCAGGCTTCCGGACCATTGCAGTGGGTTCTAGGCGGAGGTCGTAGCAAGAAGGCCATTTCTATTGTTTCTCAACTCTCCCTATTCTGGCACTTAGTTAGCCACAGCTCTCCAACCAGAGACAAAAGCCGAGGCCATCGCTTATGTTCTCCTCCAGTCTAGTTTCTATCTGTTCCGAAAACCAGTTCATTGTATACTACAAAATTGTAACTATCGATCGATCTCTGCCGCAGCTTCCAGCAAAGCTCGCTCTCACTTTATTTTTTGTAGTTAGTCATTTAGCAAAGTCTAATGTCATATGGGCGTGACTGATTTATTTGCGGTTTTTGGCTGTTCCTTCGAGTTTACCCGTTTTTTTGTAATTATTTAGAACATTTCAGAGTAAGGAATACGATTGATTTTTTTTGTGTGGTATATGTAAGTGGATAGCAAAATAGACAGCAATATAGATAAACAAAATCATTTTTTTTTTACCTGGGAACGGCACAAAGCGCAACAAAAAGATTCCAACTATGATAAGAAATTATTCCAGATCCAATATTGATTTTCAAAGGAATTAAACTCCACGCAATTCCTAAAATGTATACAAAATTAAATCTCAAAATGTATGAAGAGTATGTGGAAAGTATGTGGAAAAATTGAGTGACATCAGATTAAACTGTCCTTAACATAATTACCACCGCAAAACTGTTCCTGTTTTTGTCTAATGATCAATCTGGTTAAGGGCGGACTTGCTGAGCGCTAAAGTAGTGGTAGTATATAATATATATGTCCAAAAATAACTGAGCATACGAGAAGAGCCAAAACCTTTCTGACGTATTATAGCTACACACGTCAACCAAAAACCAAAGTTTCTTTCCTTTTGTTGAATCAGACCCGTCGATAGTGCTTGTTATTGCACTAGAAAACACATATGACATATAGGACTTAGCAGTATCAATAACTGTTTTGTACCTATGTTTCTATGTAAAGCGTTTAAAAACGTAAAGAGGTTCAAAGAGAAAATGAGCTATCGAAACGGCATAATTCCCCTGTTTCAATTTTTCTCTTATTTTTAATCATTTTGGAATCATATTTTAATGAAGTATAGTTTATGTTAGTTTAGGGAAAAGCGGGAGCGCAATAAAGGCTCATTCTCTCGCTTGACGAATTCGCCTCGCTTTGCCACCGTAGGTAAGCTATGTTTAGAAAGGAAATTGTGAAAAATAGATCGAGCGCATTCATATAATTATTTTCGTTCCGCCTATTTAAGGCATCTTAAGTAAAAAGCAGCAAGGAAGTGACAGTGACTTAGAATATTCTGCTTTATAGTGGATATTGCATAATATATACATCTCTCATATACATATATATATAAATATGTCGGGGGCTAAGGGACAGGGGGCTCTTATTCTTCTTGCATTTCGTTTAAGCCTCGTGCCCAGTGAGTCGCGCTGTTGTCTTTTGCAACAAAATCCACGATCTCACTGCCGAGCACATTCTTGTCTCTGCCTCTCTCAGCTCTTGCATTGCCCGACTTAGCATTGCCAGATTCAATTGCTCTCCTTCCGCAATTCCTTTTTGATGTCGCTCTCTCAAATACAACAACACCGGGCCACACTCGGCCGAGACGACTCTCTCTCGCTCTGCAGCCTCGCTCTCAGCAAAACACGATTTGAAGGGAATCAACGGAGAGGCTCGAAGGACCAAAATGTTAAGACCTTAAAAGAAAAGTTTAGACATTTGCGAGTTGAGATCAGAGGTAGGAGGTACAATTTTGTATTCTATAATTATAGTTAGACCTACGCAAAGGATACATTTTACTGCGGGTGTCTATTTGAGTGCATGCTTACATTGTTATTTTAAGAATGCATTGGCTAAGTGTTTTCCCCACTTGTGTTTTGTTGTAGTATCCTTTGATGGGCTACAGATCTTTGTTTACAACCGAACTGTCATTACTTATCTCCTTTATGTGATTTCTTTAGATATCCATTTTTTTGGATACATGAGTGAATGTGTACAATAATATGTTTATGTTTGAACATTCTGCAAGGGGCCGAAAGTAGCGTGGTTTCTTCTCGGACATCTTCTCTAACATCCATCTCTCACCTCTAGAGATATGAATTACATACCTTAAACGACGCCTAATTAATGTGCCATTATCAAAAAAATACAAAACTGCAAGGAATACATTTGTTTCGACGTTTCTCGAGCTTTCAAAGTCAAAATTTCGTTTAAAAATACCACCAAAAATGTTCATGCTTTAAAAGCTTAATACTTTTTAGACGATGAGCTTAAGCTACAAAGTATTCAGTTAAGATCTAAAACTGTTTGTCAACTGTTCAGAATTAGAAAGTTCAATACAGCCAGATGTCAGATACTAAAGTTACTTAAGTTACTACCTCTGTTTGTTGATCCAAACCAAAAATTTTAGATTCAAAATTGAAACTTACCCGGCAGCAATATTATTCCAAAAGTCCAGTAAAGTTCCATCCAACATAAAATTTTTTCTCTATGCTGTGTAGTTTGAAATTCACCCAAATAAGGGAATATTATACTCATAGTTCCTGCAACACTAAGAAAAAAATTTTCATTTCAAATATTCAGTTTTGAAGGATCTTTAGTCAAAACGGCTCTGGAAATATATGCGATCGAAAAATTGAACAGTACTAGGTGTTACCACACCTCGCGAAAACGGTTGACACTTTTGGCGTGTCTGATAAAAACCTCTCATCTACTTACACAGGGACAAAAGACCCGATAAAATCTTTTTTTGCTCAATTCGCTCTTCGCAAAGACCGATTTTTTCACTTCTCTTTTGTTCCTGTTTTTGTACGTCAGGTGTCTATGGCAACGATCACTTGCCATTGTGAATTGCCAATAGTGTGGCAAATAAAATTGTATCCTTTTCAAGTAGAATTTCCAGACTACCTATCAAGTGGTAGAAGACTCTGGGTCCTACTACGAAAGTTATTGTCTTCCAGCTTCCTCTGCAAAATTTCTCGAACGGTCTCCAACGCTTGACCGAATGGAATTTTTCCAAAATAATAACTGGATGAAAGATCAACGCTCCGTGCAAAATTCAAGACGAAACTTGAATGTAAATCCGTCCTTAGACCAACATGGCCTCATCAGACCATGTAACCGTGTGGCAATTGCCAATGTTCTAAATGTGCCTTTAACCAGTTCTAAGCTCCTTACTAATACTTTTTCGACTATTCCATCTTTCTATATTATTCCATCCTAGTTTCTGCATACAGACATGGCCCCACGTCCCCACGCCAACCGCATCACGGAGAGCCGTCGTGCTCGAGGGACTAGCTCGTTCCGTTGCTGGGTCTGTCGAGGAGTCCAACTCGCTTGGGGGGTGATCGAAAGATCCATGATCCACACTGCGATCACAGTGGCGTAACGCTTAAGTTAAGTTAGACGCGATTCCACCCCCGTCGTGTGCATATTCGAAAATACACTGGAACATTTTTATTGGAACGTCTTCGCCAGTGATTCTTTTGCACATTCGTCGCCGGATATCAGCTACTCGATCCGCCCTCCTACAAACAGTCATGATGATTTAAAGGGGGTTAAGATCCATCATGTACATATATAGACCTGCGGCTTTGATTATCGGAATAATTGCAATGTCAATATTAATAACAAACCCCCACAAAAAAACGAGGGGGAACGTTGTGAGTTTGCTAACTTTTTGGTAACTCTATGTTGAACTCTCTCAAAAATCATTTTGTCGATCCAAATCGACTTCACAAATCTGAAAGGAAAAAAAAAATAACTCGATGGACCGCGATTTTTCCAGAATTAACATGCAAAAAATATTTGTTGGTCATTAGGTAAATGTTCAATATAAAAGCCGATGCTCCGGAGGATAAACTATGATGGACTTACTGGGGGCTTAAAAATCTTTTTTGTGAAAATTAAAATACATTAAATTAAGGAACTATTAAAAAAGGTTAAAAAGTTCTTACTTGAATCCATTTACTAATCGGAATAACATAAAAATTATATAAATCGGTGCAAACGAAGATAATATTCCGAATATGCCATCTGCTAATAAAGTTGTAATTAAAACAACACGTCGACCTTTCGTATCAGCAAGGCATCCCCAAAAATATGATCCAATTAACATTCCTAGCATAGGTGAAGCAGATAGCCAGCCTTTGTCTGTGGATGTCATGGTGAAATCACATGTAGCAGACGGCAAGACGAACGATATAATGGTCACACCCATGGCCGTATTCATGTAAATTAAACCACATATTGTAATCAAAAGAAATTGAAAATTTCCGAATCCAGTTTGAAGTAATGCGTTTTCATAGTCACTCGCAAAGTCTTCCAGAAAGTCAAGGCCTATAAATAAAAAAAAATATATATATAAATATAAATTCGTCATAATTTCTCGTAGAAATATTATCGTGTATAGAAAATTCAATATTAGCGAAAGGACGCTGAAAACTGTTTTCGTAAAATGAATACAAATAAACAACAAATTAAAGCAGCATTTATTCGCGCACCATGAAGGGAGTATATTTTGCTGCTGCTTTAAAAAAAGGACTAGAAAAAGCAACACCTCCAAATGGCACGTTTTAAAATATCAGGAAAATACAATGCCAAGCACACACACGGGGGATCTTGCCTTATGACTCCAAAGGCTTTTTGGGCTCTGTCGCGCAACTGACCCGCAGGTCTCCAAGTGTGAAGTCTGGCTCCATGCCCTTTTCTTAGCCTTTGGTGTTGGTGGCCTGAGCCCATATCAGCGCTACGTATAACAGGGAAGACTTTACAACGATGAAGAGCAGTCTCCTGCTCAATTTTGGGCAACTATAGCTTAGCATCATTCGATAAGGCGTCTTCACCTTTAATGCTATTAGGACTGTTTCCTTTTTCTGCTCGGAAAGTACAAGCTATTCTGGGTATAGCTAACACCTTGTGCCGGCTCTTTTGGCCGGGGTATGCTCGCCGTGCCGGGATTCACAGAAATTTTTAAGTTTCTGGGTGTGGTAGCTGAAATAAAGAGTCTCGTAGTTGAAGAATAAGGCGTGAATTAAGTGGTACAAGAAGAGTCCTTTTTTATTGTCCTTAATTTTACAGATCCTCCTTCTGAGTCGCACGTTGCTGATTACCTTGTGTTGTAGCGTGATGATGTGGGAAAGCTGTCGTTTACCCATACTAGTATGAGGCGGTTTCGTGTGCACCTGTAGCGATGCTCTAACTAAGCTCGCCGGATTGACGGGGTTCATTTTATTCTCTCCTATCGCACACTGACACACACTTGCATGCTACATAATTGTCGCCCAACTCAGGGCCTGAAAAGACATAATCTCTCGTATTGTTGGTACTTAACTTCAGTACCAGAGGCATCTAATGTCACCTTAGCTCTTCATTCCATCCAAAACAATAATTCAAGTTTTTTTTACTAAAATTAACTTTACGAAAAGAAGTCCAGCAAAAGGGAATTGAAAGATCATGCGATGCGACGGTCCAATGCAAAACGGTACACATCGATGTATGCGTGTGCAACTACGGGTTTCGCCTATACGTATATAATAGGTGCTTATGCGGAACAATACAATACTGAGCATATGAATAGGCCAATTTCTGATATAAATGAATATTTAAATAAAGGAAAGCGGCTAATTTTAACAGTATCAATATTATACCTAGAAACAAAGGAACAGCCTAGGATGGGAACTTAACAATAGTAACCCCTAGAAACTATATTAGCTTCACATATTTTCTAATAACATTAGTACGAAAGAAAAATTCTCCGAAGCCCAATTTGTTCAAGTACCGATGGCGGCGATATTTTCTTACTGATACATGAACCGGCGGGATACACCTTTTTTTAGCATAAGATTGTCATATTGACGATCATCAGAATCAAGTGCTACAGCTATAAGCTTGTCATCTGATAATGATTATATATTCGAGTCCTTTCTGCAGTCGAAAATGGCTCCTACTGTGGGTAGCACACATCTCTTTAAAATTATTATATGCTCCGAATTGGCTTAATATTTCTTAATAATAATAAAATGACCAGTGTTTTTTTGTTTTGGTTCATCACTCATAGACAAACCTGTACTTCGGAGCTCAAAAGTAAAAAAAACGTATACTTTGTATGTAGAAAAACAGATCGGAATAACGTATAAAATACAATTTCTTAAAATACTTACTCATCCTGAATATGATTGAACTCTTTTCAGACTTGCACGAATTTTTCAATATACGTTGTATTTAAAAAAAATGTACACTGGTGGTAATGATTGTGCAATGTAAATCTTAATATTCAAGCTAAATTAATCAATTTTGTATAGTATTTTACAATTGTAATCAATTTGACGAGTTTCAGTATGATTTGGTATTTAGAGTTATTTCTAAAGGGGCTTTAACAATAATTTACTAAGTTAGTACCAATGCAGTATAAAATATATGCTTTTGTTGCTGCCATATCGATCATGTGGTACAAAACTCGCGTCGTGGCATATTGAGTTTTAGCTCTGATATGATAGCGATCAATTAAAACAAACGATCTTAACAAGGAGTGATAATCCAGTCTCCATCCTCTCAGTCAGGGTGGACAGTACAATCACTATCCTCTCAGTCCTTAACAACTAGGGCTTAAACTAGGAGAAAAATGTATAAAGACAGGGATCCAAATCTATAGCATTTTAGCAATGGGCCATACTGATCTGCTTTTTGAATTCAAAGCTATTAACATAATTCAAAATAAGCTATCAAGTATCGAAAACGATTTGTCACGAAAACATATACAGACAATAAATTCTGTTCGTCTATGAAGAGATGATTTTGAGCGATGGTCAAGACGAAACAAAAGTATCAAATTTGTATAGTGATAACAGTCGAAAAGCGAAAATTGATGCTAATTTAAGTTGCCGCCAAAGGCGGTAGAAGGGCAGGAGATTATCGACGAGCGTTTTGAAAGCCGAACTGCAGCTCCAGTTGAGTGCTGTTAAGGAGAGAACAAGTCTCTCATTGTGCAAGGCTACAGGCCGATAGTAGAGGAACCAGCCGGCGGTGGCCAACAAGTCATGTTGAAGTTCGAAGATCAAGGTTAGCTAATTAAGGGTTAAGTCGACCAACAACAAAAGGTTATATCGATGCTAAGCTACACTGAAATTCACTACTCCTAGCTATGATGGCACAACAAATTTTGGGGTTGGGGTTTTCATGATACAATTAGAAATGTCAGCGTCGAGGAATAATTGGACGGCAGATGACACCGCAGCCGCTTTGTGTGCTTTCCTTGAAGGGTCTTGCTGCTGGGGTCCTACCATCGATTCCCGACAAAGAGAAACTGAAGTACGATTATATATGCGAGTCACTGTCGCCCCCCTTCTACCCATTGTGTGAAACTCGCCAATAAAGTGGTTCCTTAACCCAAGCCGCGGTATATAGCACTTACAGCCATACCTACATATATACAAGCAGCAGCAGAGGGGAATTCTTTTCGTTTTCGCTTCTCCAAATGTTGCTTGCGTTGTATTTGTTTGGATTGTACGATTTCCATAATATAAATATAAGTGTATTAATTACACAAAACACAACGCGTTCATTAATTATGTCAGCTAACAATTCTTCAAAAGCGTTAGCTAGCTAAGTGAAATTAAAACGTTAGGGCTCTAATTGTTATCGAACTCGGTAGCGGTAGCTGGCCGAATATGATGAATGAGATTTAGTGATCAACGGCAAGCGATACGCTGCGCTTTATTTAGATTCGAACTTAAGACTGATCATTTATGAAATTAAAAGCTATGATAGCAGCCAGCTTCGCGGCCAGTGCTGCCGCGGCGCTGCCATCACCGCAGAACCGTCGCCACCGTTCCAAGAACTCCAACGTCGCTGGCAGCTGTTCCGCACCCGTGGGAACTGCTGACTTGCGCCATGTCGGTGGTGTTGGCTTGCAACAGCAGCTGCCAACATTGTCGTCACATATCCGCCGCAGTTGTGACTCTGGTCGTGGACCTCGCTAATATGCTAGGTCTGCACACGTCCAGTGTCGGTGGATAACTTATATAATATAATATATAAGTTAACAAATGTTAAGCAAATTGGCGAATGGGCTTAACGACTTTCTGCAAGATCGTTGAGTAGGAAGATTCACTGACCGTGGGAGCGTGGCCGTCGCGACCACCGGATGCCAGCCTGCATCGGACACCAGACACAAGGGGCAATGTCATACGGCTGTTTTTCAAAATATTACTGACGCCCAACGCGATAGAGACCACACCCGAGAGAACACCCTACTATAGTGCGGAGACAACGCCCGCTATAGAGGAAGTCGATCGAAAAAAATAAGTAAAAATAAAATAAATTGAATGCGGAGACAACGACCGCTCAAGGAGAGTGAAAATAAAATTCGTAAATAAAAATAAACCGAATAAACGGGAAAGAGCCGAATATAAAAAACATTGAAAGTGGAGGCAATGCCCGCAATATCGCCGACAAATTAAAGCTCATTGTTTGTAGGGGGGCAGATCGGAGGAAACAGGGAAAACGTCAGGTTTGTTTCTCCAAGAAAAGGGCACGAATCAATGTAATTTCGTGTATAATATAATCGTGTATATATACGCACACGACGTGGCAGCTTGTAGGAATCGTAACTAACTTAGTTTAAGCGTTACGCTGGAATGAACGCCGTTTGAATCATGGATCTTTCGATCACCCCCCAAGCGCGCGAGATCGATTCGGATCTTTGCCGTACACACCTTCTCGTCCCCTACACGAGTGGTGGGCAACGTGAAGGCACTGGCCAATGAGTCTTCGATGCAGCACACCGGCGTGCATGGGTCGATGAGCTCCGCCGTCTCGAAGTTTTTGGAACCCGTATCCAGAACCACCAGCGCCGTCGGGAGGATTTTGAGGCTCCGATGTTGTCGAAGGGAGTCGACGGATGGCGCTGGGGTCCCTACCACGGTCCCTCATGGGGCGGCTAACGAGGCGACTCACGGGGAGACGAGGGCGGTGCTCAGCTTGGGACGCTGGAAGCGCAGACTATGGTGTTGCAGCCTAACGACCCGTCGGTTCGGCGACATTCGGCGTGGGCCGAATGCAACGGCGATGCAGCCGAAGCTAAGCGGACTGGACGAGTGTGGTGGTTCTTGCCACACACCCGGCGCAGACTGCCACCTCGACAATCCTTGCCGGAGTGTTGGTGAGCCAGGCAGTTCCCGCAATACTTGTTGATTAGGACGGCTAGGAGTCTATTCTCAGGGCTCAGGCGAAGAAAATGGTGGCAGGTCCATAGCGGATGGACTCCTCGGTAGTCCCAGAAACGGTACGAGTTAATCCCTCTAGCACGACGGCTCTCCGTCATGCGGTTGGCGCGAGGACGTGGGGCCAGCTCTGTATAAAAAAAATTGGGAAGGAATAGAAAAGGCACGCTTAGAACATTGGAAATTGCCACACGGTTACATGGTCTGAGGAGGCCATCTGGATCCGCTTTCGCCATCGCCACCGAACAGACCTCGAACTCAGCGTCCACTTTCGAACACAGGCTTCCGAGTTTTTCAGGAATTGGGAGAGCGAGGGGGTTGGTTGCTAGCATGGTCGGACCTCACTCAGTTGGGGCCGGACGGGAAGATGTGGGCGTATTGACTAAGCCGTTGGAGCTCGGTGGATGGGTCAAACACAGCGAACTTACCCGCTTAAACATCTTGCGAGATTTCTTGTCAAAGCGTATCAGAGTGGAAGTTGTGAACTACGATCCGTGGGTATGTGGTTTTGGTGGAATTTATTGCGAGTATTTATATTATGGAAATCGTAGACCGTGACCGGAAAAAATACATATAAATTCTAAGATCAATAAAGAAATGTCCAACCAAGAAAGAAAAATGAGGATGAACAATAATATTAAGGCACGAGGTGTATATAGGGTCGGTTGCAAGCGGCCGTTAAAACAATATATCCTCGAAATTCAGGGTAGCGCGTTATTGGCGTTACGTTACGATCAAGCCCGGCACCGAAAAATATCCTTTCGACGACTACAACGCGTCGAGACGAAAGCGAAAAGAAAAATGAAAAGATTGCACCGCTGCTTGTATGTGTGTATGTATGTCTGTAGGTGCTGTGTACCGCGGCTTGGGTTAACAAACCACCTTTTTGGCGAGATTTAAAACAACGGTTAAAAACGGTGTATAACCGTTAAATATACAATATACATATACATGTACATATATATTGATATGAAAGAATATTCTAATTTAAAATACGTACGTATATGTAAGATAAATACATATGTGCCGTATGTATTTATTGAATAAAAAGACGCAGTGATTTGTTTTTTTATATCTTCATAAAACCGAAAAAACCATGGAACGTTGAGCATGCACGGAATAAAAAACAAAGAAATTCAAAGAATATGTATTTATGTTTGTTGTCTGGTCTGATCAGCTCGTGAGGTGGCTCAAAGGGGGCCTAGCTGAGGCCACCGGACGGGTCGCAGGTTACGGATAGCGAACGGCCTACCTCGGTAGGTCAGCTGCGCATAAGCGTGCATCACTTACGGGAGACTACCGAATTAAGCAGTCCCGGGTGTTCGCAAAGAAGCAACAGTGACGATGCGCTTGTGGTGACGCCTCATATAAGTAGCTCCCACACTGCCATCCCTACACGACACCTACCCCTATCCCAACACCCACACCCACCTCACACCGGGCAGGACTAAATGTGTTACTCGACCCGTGCCGAAAGTTAGCCTGGCTGGGGGCCAGTTATAAAAACTAGCCCAGTCGCTAACGGAGGGCTCAGGGACTCGGCAGCCCCCTGTTTTAATGATGCCTTACCCGGGCAACGTGGATCTCTGCCCGGGCTGACCAAAAAAACACAAAAAAGACAAATGAGTGCGGCACTCCCCAGATGCCAACTGGGGGCAATCCCAAGCACAGAAAGGCAGAGGCCCAAAGGCCTGGCCTTACTGGCTGTACAGCAGGGAATACTTGCAAGGTGGAAGGTGCCTGTGCGAACCCGAGGGAGCCCCATCCCGAATCCGGAGTGGGTGGCAATACAACTCCCAAAGCACACACCTTGGAGAGGCAGCTAAGAAATACTGCGGCTGCCCGACCTTCTGGTAAAGTGGAGGGGGGGATGACTTGCCGTCGAGCCAGCGCAGAGGGGAGGATACCAAGGAGTCAGTGGAAGTGGGTGGAAGCTACGGCGAAGACCCAGGACCTCCACCAGTCTGCAAGCATA